TGTAACTATTAGATGATTTGAAATGCCTATTGCGTAAACATTTTAAAGAGGATATATAGTGTTATAAGGTATATACTGATTGAAAAAATACGTACGCTTTGGATCAGACATGGCAAATGCAAAGGTATGGTCTATAGTTTAGAATAATTGATTTGGAAAACAAACATAGAATAGAGAACATCCGTAGTAATTCATGAAACCTTAAGAGTAGAAAAGCTTTAATTCATTAGGCAAAAAAAAAAATTAAATAAATAAATGCACCAGCTAGGTCAATCTTTGAGCAAGGGTTGTTATAACTGTCAACAAATTGTGGTTCATATATTGTGTATTAACTTATAAAAATTATTCATCGATATTGAATATACTAAATAACCATTTATAAATAGTTACCTTTGTGCTTCACCAAAACTCTAATTGTGTACAAATGTTACGTACTTTCTATTTATAGTTGGGAAAAAATCAGTTTCGTTTTGTACCTGAAGAAGATTTAGGCAATGCCTGTTCCTTGTTTTTTTCCAAAATATCATGTTTTTAAATATTTTAAAGATAAAAAAAAATATATAAAAAATATATAGAAGATTTCTCATTGAACGACTTTTCTATCTGAATCGAAAATTGTTTATATAGCGTTTTCTTTTTCCTTTAAAGAGAGCAGGAACTTCAGCTTCGTTTTGCAAGTTAAAATAAAGAAATACGAGCCTTTCACCGTTGACTGCACACCAATTTATCTGTAAAGCAATTCCCGGAGCGACGTGTATAATAATAATAGACCCTTATCAGGTAGTTGTTGACTGATACAAGGAATTTTTCAAAGGGCTCGGAAAATTTTTAAAGGTCGGTCAATAATGGCTAATTTAACAACAGAACACTAAAAAATATAGATAAGGCTGCAAAATATCCCACTGCCTACAAAATTACACCTGATGTGACTTTACTTATTTACAAAAAAGAGTATTAAAATCAATGAATATTATCTTTGGGGGCCCGCAATTGCCTTGTTGAGTTTCTGGCTGCTACATACATAGCATGAAGGGCATTGAAGTTGTAAAATATTTCGTTTGGATGAAACATTCTGAGTCTTGTTTTGTACGTCAATTACATGTATAACATAACACACCCATTTCTTTAGAAATGAAAATTAAATATTCATCGTAATGTGTAAGGACACCCCACTATTCGTGACAAGCAACATGAGTTACACAGAAATGAAGATATTTTAAGTTATAAGAGAGAGAGAGAGAGAGAGAGAGAGATCCCGCTTCGGTAAAAAACGTGTTTCATCGAATTTATCAATAATTAGCAATTTATCATGTTTATTGGAGTCACCATAACACATGTATCGGTCGAACACGTGCTTACTCAGTGTTGATATAGATGTCAATTTGATTGGCTATTATATTTATCGAGAACCTGTTCAACAGGTATTCGAATGAGCTATCGTCAACTTCCCTTACTTATGCAACAAACTATTTTCATCGCCTGCATACGGAGTATATATATCTCAGTTGATGAGATACGCAAGAGCATGCTCCACGTATGAACAATTTCTAAAACGAGGTAAATTATTGACAAGCAACTTGATGAAACAAGAATATCAAATATCAGCAGTTTCGTTTAAAGTCATCATTTCGTAAGTCCTTTGGTCGATACAATGACCTTGTCAGCAAATTCAATTTATCATTGAGTCAAATGCTGACTGACGTTTTCATACGAATTGTTAGTCCATTATTTGTACACTGAACTGACGACGGATTTTTCCGTTATTTCCTGATCATGACAAGGAGCACACGGCAGGTGTGCCTGGTCGGCGGGGGATGCTCACTCCTCCATGGCACCTGATCCCACCTCTGTTGTTTTGGAGGTCCGTGTTTTCCTTTCTAAATCAATGGGCTAGTCATTGTCAGGCAACCTAGTTCTAAAATTAGCTATAAACGTTCCAGTCATACAGAAAATTTTACCACTTCAATGCGCTTTGTATGTTTGTGGCCGGCAGATACTTATTTTGCAAAACTTATGTTTCAAATCGGAAAGAAAAATATGCACCTTACTGAGCAACTGTGCAATTATTTTTACCTTTCTGCATTCTATATATTTGCAGAATCACTTTAATTCTAATCATATTTTACGAGACGTATTCATGGCATTAAATCTATAGTAATTTTATTTCAAAAAGTCAAAATATTATGTTTCATTATACAAATCAAACTAAATATTGCGCTTTAGCATTGTATTTCATTTTTTGCACTAAAAGTGTCATACCCGTACTGGGGGATTTAAAATTTTGAAAGGTAATTTTCTTTTTTGTGTGTTTTAACCTTTCATACCTTGTGTGCTGAAGGGTTGAAAGCACCCTTTAGTGAAAAAAAAAATTATGCATCAATGATGTACATGTCTGGATATAAACTATACTGTGTGATATTTTTTTTTCTAGACATATTTTTTCATTGCGTAGTAAAATGTGTTTATTGTACGTGTGATTTTGCTTTCAAAATATATATTGAAAACTAATATAAATATCACTAAGTAAACATATAAAAACTGAAAATATTCTCTGACCGAAAATATTAGTGTGTAAATTTCCAGAGTGATCAAGGTAACAAATGTATGGATTTAAAAACTTTTTTTTTATCTTTTAAAGGCTGTGCATATGTCCTTCCGACAGAATGTAATACTCCTAAAAAATTTGTTGAATTTCATTTTGTGTTTTTTTTTAAATTGAAAGATGATTTTTTTTTCCCATTGATAAAACCATACGTGTCGCAACATGAATCCCTCGACTGGCGTGCAAAATTTCAATTATCATACACAATATGTCCATTTATAACATGGGTTATTAAGAGAAATTGTCAATTGCTTAATCGTAGCCGAAGAAATAAAGAGGGTGATTGTGTAGTGTCTATAAAAATCAATCCTGATAACTATCTTGTCCAAAGTTGACGTGTATTTCAATGACGTCTCCATACGCCATGTCCAAATTTGAACTTGACCTGTATTTTGTATAATGTCTGCATATGCAATTTCAAAACCTATACATATGTCTCTACATAAGTTTTAGACAGGAAATTGAAAATATTTTATTTATGTTTAAATTCATGAGAAATACATCTGTCATAAACAGTAAATAGATCTAGACATTTTCCTTGATCAATTTTTTTTCTTTTTATTTTGAAAGTAATGCACATTTTCAATCCATGTAATATTCTTACAACAACATCCTTATTGCGAAAATTTTTGCTTTATTTAGCATTAAAACATCACAATATATAAACATGAATATATTTTAAATACATCATCTACATCAGTTAACATATATCAAAGTTCCAAGTTCTTTAAATCTATTATTCGTATGGTGTAAAAAGTAAAAATAGTATAATGATTAACGCATAGGTAAGACACGGGGAACACACTTTTTTTAAGCATAGTGATAATTCATAATTAATAGCGATTAAACAAAGAAGAGTAATTGGATAACCTTTCAACATAAAATATATTCAAAATGAAAATTACATAAGAATCCTTTTAATGTCATTTTCTTTAAGATAATAAATGTGAATACATATATGCATGGAAAAATGAAAAAAAAAAAAAAAAAAAAAAAAAAAAAAAAAAAAAAAAAAAAAAAAAACATGCCAACAATACATCAAACAAGTACAATATTTTCTTCATCTAACTAATATTTACAACGGGTACTATAAGGGCAATACGTATTGAGAATTGGGGACCGTGTCAGTGCAAATGATTCACTTTTGTAGTGATCTGCTTAACTCTTACGAATGAAGAAGCTTTGGAAAATAAACAATACAATGTAAAGTTACACATATATGGTGTAGTATAATAAAATTACAAAAGTATTTGTTTATATATAAATAAAATTTTGATTATCTTTGCCTTGTTTATTACGTACATACGAGGTCTTGATTTTCCGGGAAATCCTTGGACAAGGTTTCAATATAAAACAATAGTCATCAATGTGTTCTGAAATTTTCATAATTCTTCAAATTTTTTTTATCAAATATCCAAGTACCTAGAAGTTCAAATAGATATATAAGCATCAATAATCAAATTTATTGATGATAACATCAAAGTGTCCAAAGCAGCGTTGTGTTTTTTCTTTGCTAAAAAAAGGTTTGGAAAGTCTCACCTTAACTTTGAAATTTCAATAATGGACATATTTGCCTTTCCATTTATAACTCCCAGAAAAGTCGAATATGCAATCTCGCACATACAACGGACACTTCTGTAGATTAATCTCAGTAGATTATGGACATTATTCTACCATCATTCAACTAAATAAGACATTTTATATTGCTGGTCTTCAATGAAAACGTTTGACGCTTTTAAAATTGCTGTTTGTCCGTATATTTAAATTCTGTTCTTCCCAGGGACTTGATGAAAAACGATATTACTTAAAAAACCTCCATTTCAATTGAGTACTAAAGAAATGTTTATGATTTGTTATGTTCTGTATTCATCTAAAGTGTTATAGGGCGTCATTACTACATTTAAATAAACCTGAACTGCTCTCCAGTGCGTCGTTCCCATGTTTTCTTTTCGTGTGTTTACCATTTTACCATTTTGAATGCTCGATAAGTGTAAAAAAAATTAAGCAAACGCTTTGAAATAAAAAAAGAAGAGCTTGGTTATTTATTGTGTGTCGTAGGAATGTACCCTGTGCACATTCAAGGATAATAAATTTCTTGTTTTTGTCCGTTTATAATTAAAAAAAATAACAGATTCACTTACTTGAATTTTATGGAAATTACTTAAAGTATTCAAGATGAAAGTTCATAAAACAGTACACAATAGTAGCAGAGAAAACATGGACCTCAAAATAAAAAGGTGGGATCAGGTCTCATTGAGAAGTGAGCATCCTTTGCAGACCGGTCCCCACAGCCTTGTGCTACTTATCGTGATCGTGAAGTAACGGGAAAAACTTGCTGGAAATTTTAGCATAGTGTTCGTTTTATTTTCCGAAAAGGACAGCCCTCCTATTATTTTTTTGTCACTAAAAATGAATGGCACTTTTTATTTTCATATCATATAATGGTAATGTACAGTGCATTAAACCATCCCCCTTTCTCCGTTTTTTTTTTTTTTTTGAATTTATTAACATGATGACACACACGTATATACATATAATACCTAATTCATTTAATTAAAAACGTCATTTCCACCATGCCTTTGCTGTTGAAGTTTATTTTGCACACAATATGCTCCACCCATTGCAAATACTTGATAATTTTCTGGTATTGCTATTGTAACTTCTAGTTTTAAATTTTTAAACCAGCTTTTTTCGGCGTCTGTGCGAATCATTTCCATGTTAGAGTATGTACCGGTCATAACAACACATTTAACATTTTGTTCATTAAATGTTTCTTGAGCATTATTTATCATTTTTTCAACTTTTGTTCTCAACTCCTGAAAACATTCTCTTATAAATCCAGTTTGAAATTGAATTATCCAATCGTCTGGGGTTTTTAAACAAATGTTCTTTCTTTTCTCTATGCTTTTCTTAATGTCCGATTCTTTTAAAGGATATTTTTCTTTGGCAAGCTTCAATAACGTTTCTGGCAATTTCATTTCAAAGGCAACGCCATCAGCACCACCCCTGTAACTTTTAATCTTCTTTTCAAATTCGGTTATTAGTTGGATTGAACAGTTTTCATACTGCTTTTTCCAATCTTTAAAAACTCTTTCGGTAAATATTTCAGACAATAAATCAAAAATTTTTTCATCCGGTAAAATTTCCCATTCAAGTCTTTGCTTAGGTAAATCTGGAATTGCATCCTCTCCTACCAGGCGGAAGTTCAGATCACAATAATCTAGAAACGAATTACATTCTTTAATAAAGAAAATGTAACCAAAATTCATTTTGCGAATAGCAATATAATTTAAATATGAAGGCAGGAACATTCAAAGTTTTTTTTTCCTAAACTGCGAAAGGCACTGGGTAAAGTTATATTTTTTTTCTAAACTAACGAAACATGAACGTACTTAAATATTACCATGGCATTACCCCCCCCCCCCCCCCCCGAGTTCTTTAACACAAACCAATTACCTATCGTGTTACACATTTATTGTTTATCCCAATTGGAAAATTTCTCTGGTATGCATTATAGATTTTTGAGATTCAGGAAATTTGTATTCAGACTTAATATAGCATTAATACATAAAAGACGAATACAATTATAATACTTATTAATGTTCAATGAACATTACCCAAAAATAAATTGATTATAATAAAATGAAAGATTGTGTTCAAAATATTGATCTATTTAAAATTATCCTGAATCTTGAAATGATTGTCCTTAATTCATTTTCAATTAAAACGTTAGACCTTTTACAAATATCAATAAGTACCAATATAAATAAATGTATCGTTCCTTTTTAAAAGGTTCATTTCTCCACTGTTAAACGTTGAGGGCAGACGGCGCGGTTTTCAAAGATTTACTTTGTTTTTCTTGATAATATAACAAAAAATCTTAATGACTGTTTCTCTTTTGTTATTTCTAAATTGTATTGAATTTGTTTCAAAAATATTACAATACTGAATTCTCTGATTGACATTGACAAGTCCAAAGATTACCCATACTAAAAGTATCGTAACAGTATAATAATTATCGAGTAATGGTACTTCACTTAGATGTTTCATAAAGTATCGCAAATATTTGTAAGATACATGTAACGTGTTCAAATTTTAATGCATCAGTGACAATTTTACGTATTTATACATGAATGCAGGCAGGGAATGAATATTATACTTACGTGATCCAATATGCAGAATTCCATAAAACGAACTTTTCGAAGTGTCTAAAATAAGGTTGTCGACTTTAAAATTCAAACAGAGAACCCTGGCATTAGCGTATTGTATGAAAGGAGATAACGTGTCTTCTCTTGTAATGATACTAGTGTTATCAGGATCCATATCCTTAACATAACAATAAAACAGAAATAAATCACCACAAAGTACAAATAATCCCATTGAAACAATGTTAAATTTGTTAAATTCAACTTGAAAGAAAGTGCTCGAATTTTCACTTGTGTCAACAATCGGGAATCAGATGTAGAATATTTGAAGTCAGACAAATACAGATTCATGACTTTCGAATAAAGGTTGTTTAGAAGATATGCAGAATACTTGTCTGTGTATCATAGAGAAAAATTTTCTTTTCATTTTCAGTCTGAGGTTTACAACAATTAACTGAAGAAAAAAAAATTATGTTACTCTTTTCAATTTCAAGGTCCTCATTGCGAGTGCTCTTACCTGGACAATCTTCATTTCAAAAATGCAATTTCTTAAACGATTTTTTGCTTTTTCTGACCAATATTTTGGAACAATGACTGCATAAAATAAACGTTCTTTTGCCACGTTCCTCACGTTATCCTTTCCATTTTCTAATGTATAATTAAACCTTTCAAGGATAGATTTCAAGATTCCTTCGTACTCCCTCTCATTTGAAGTTTCCTAGATATAAAGAAAAAAATATTTCAGCTGATCATCATGGAATATATTAACGGATCGTTTCTGCTTATACACGTTTCACAGAAAGGAAACTGTAAAAAGAATTGTGTGCAAAGCTCGAATTTGTCGAGGGAGGAATACTAGATACATGTAATTACTATATTTTTTCTCAAAGTTGGTAAATGGGAATATCAAGGTATAGGAAGACTAGAGAATTAAGCAATATGCTATTCATGAATTGGTTTATTGTAATTAATTAATTTTTATTACTTTTCTACTTTCCTAAAGTTTTTTCCTGGAAAATTTGGTTTTCAATCATTTAACAAAGCATTTTTAAAAATGTTCCTGAATAAATTCAGCTTTGATTTTTAATGCAAATAATAAAAAGAGCTATTGCAACCTTGGTATATTCTTCATGTCGATGTAGTCAAAAAAAACAGGCTTTATAAAGTTTAATTAAGTTATAAATAGTCAATAAATTTTCTCTTATTTGTCTGGAATTCATCAAGCGTTTTAAAACAGCTTATTTAATATTTAAAGAAATAATGTAAACTTAACTACTATTGATGCATAATCTCCACATATTTTTCTAAACCTAATTATCAAATTTATGCAATACGGTAGCACAAAGCCGATAAATGTGCTGACATGTATTAATTATTGATTTGAACATATTTTATTGTAATAAACATATACAATGGGATTGGGCACAAGTTCTCAAAACTTATTTCGCCCTCTCCCTACATGGAAAGTTTATAAAGTTTATGCTACATTTGTGTTACACAGTTTTAGAAAAATATTAATAAATTCACAACATGATTAATAATAAACTGCAAGGACGTATGTGATGTACAAATGCTATGCACAATCATGCACAAAAAATCATTTAAATCTGCCAGACTGCTGAATATATGAATGTACAATGGAAAAAAAAAGATATTCATTTTCAACAACACTTAAAGAAGAATCGCCCCACAGTAACGTATGGGTATCAACAATGTGAACCTTATCGAATCTCAGAAACTTGTCGAAAAATTCCTTCCTGGCCTCAGTATAGTTAGGACAAGAGAAAAAATAATGGTGAAAGAAAAATGATGGTGAGACAAAATAATGGTGAAAGAAAAAATAATGATGATATTAATTATTATTAGTGAATGTTCCTAAAAATTTTGTTACACTGTAATTATGTGATTACAAACATGTATAAGTATTATTATAATATGATTGAATAATTTCCATCTCTCTAATTGGCTGAGATTCATACTAAGTTGTATTGACCTGTATGTGACGTTCCAGTTAAATATACACAAGGATTTATTTTCTCTGCTTCTCTGCATTGATTTAAAAATAAATAAATATCTTCAGAACAAAACGTAAGCGAATATATATTTTAGGGTGAGGGTGCTGAGAGGGGATTCAGGGACCCCACTCCAACACTTTCACTGAGCAACAAATTTTACTTTTTGGCTTTCAGTTTCCCTGATAACACTCCTTTATTTCAAAATCTATAAAAAATACTGACACTATATTTTTTATGGCAACTATAAAGTTGATAAAATCATTTCAAATTGATACGACTGATAAAGTTTATTTATATATTTGATTCTGCTTCTCTCTTGATTTTGGCTAGGGCTCTAATTAATGCAAACAAGTATTTAACTGAATCAGTTTATCATAGAATCATAATAAAACAATTATTGTTGTTTTTGTCTGTCAATTCAATGATTTAGCCATCTGAGGAGTACAAAATTCACCGCGCCTTTCGGGCGAGGTCAATATTGTACTACAAAGATGGCTAAACCATTGTATTGACCAGAAAAACCTGCAATAATTGTATAATATGCTAATCAATTCGACACGTCTCAATCAACTGTTGACTGAAGCAACATTTGATATTGATAACTTATTGAAATGTTTATTTAACATAAACTTCTATATTTATGCTTGTTGTATATTTTTTTTTAAAATACTGCTTTTGTTTGGAGCTTATTAAATAAAACTCCTAAAATATGCTTTACCTTACTTAGCTTGAATTGATAGTGATACTTCCACGAAGTTGTCTCTCTGTCTCTTTTTGCAAACGCATGTAGATCTTCAGGGCTAAAAGGTTTAAAATGTCCGTTTTCCTCTCTAAATATGGAAATCCTTTCCACGGAACCTATAGGTTTGACACCTTGATATGGGTCTGGATAAGCTAATGCCATTGTCAGATGTTGATTTCCAATGTCTAAAGCAGCCACATAGATTCCTTGAATTAGAAATAGAAGGTTTATGTAGCACAATACTCGCCTGATTACTTTGGTCATTATATTTCATTATATTCATTCATTATATTTTTCCAGGTTCCAGTTCAAATTCATTTATTTCACTCACACCAACATCAGTGGTACAAGAGGTACAGTATATAAACAAGTCGTCATAACAATGTTAAAAAGATGATTTAAAACGCGTTTGGGTACTGATATTTAAATTTTTAATCAAGTATATTTTTAGTTTCTTAACACAAATTTTAATTAAAAATTTAAACAAGAAACGGGGGTTGGAAAATACCGGCATCTATCACTGGTAATCCCCACTACTGGTATTTCCGCCAAACCCAGGACATTTCAAAACCAGAAAAAAACATCCCCCCCCCCCCAAAAAAAAAGGTTTTGCGTGTAAAAAAAAAAGAATCTAAACTTTATTGAAATGTATTCCAAAAGGGGAAAAGTAAATCATTTTCTTCTACTAAAAACACATCATCCACAAGTATAGTTCATGATTTTAACTTATTTGAATATAGAATTTAATTGCTTTTTACTTTAGATGTAGCTTATTTTCCATTGAAGAATCGATATTAAATATTCGATTTTGAAATTGATGAAGAACTCTTGAAATAAACTTCCAAACTTAAATCTGCTCAAACGATCAGCATCAAACCTGAGAGTATTGCATAAGAAATACATGGCCCCTATCGGTCCCCCCCCCCTCCCTCCTTTTTTTCGGATGATTATAATATGCAGAAGTTATGTACAAGGTGAAACTGTTTGATTTTGAGGTTGTGAATGCCTTTTAAAATAAAATAATCTACATTAAGACGAAAATTCAAGTCATTTTCCAACGTCTTTTATGTATACCATCGGAAGTCAGCGCAGCACGAACCCGATCTTAATGAAAAGATTATGAAAAATTAAAAATTACATTATTTTGTCAAAAATCAATGAAGCCAAACGACATTCGAACTTGATCTGTTACTTATTAATATACATTTCACATACCAAAATAAAGTTAATTATCTGCAAAAGTTAAGAAAAAAGTGCGGAAAACCAAGTATGGCAGACTGACAGATAGACGGGGACAGACAGACAGACAGACGCACGAAATGACGGACAGACAGACGCAGATGAATGTTTTAGTCCTTCCTCCCGGTTTCACCGGTAGGGAACTAATAAGCACTCAAGACATTCACTTCTTTGTGGAATTTTTTCGTTACAGTTAAAGTTTTCTGAAATAAATGTTCGTCATGGTAAGCATCGTGTGATATTTTAACCAATTTACCTTTCTTGCTTTCCTGTTTGAATCCTGTTTGCTCTTGTAGCTTGATAACATCTGCAAAATATCTATTTGCTTTTCAAATAACTTAAACAATATGCAATTCGTATCTTAAATTACGCATATACAAAATGATACTCATCTAATGATGGTTTTTCTTTTCCGATTCCTCCCATTTTGACATTTTTTGTCAGATTAATAATTGGAAATTCTTCATCAGAATTTCAAATTACATATTACTGAAATCTTTATTTCAATAGTGAATCTTATTTCAATATTGCAATTGGTTACAATCTATGTCTGGTTTTGAAATGCACTCTCAATCACTATTGAAATACTTATTTCAATAGTGGTAATTGATTTAATGATTGTTGCAAGAAAGCATTGTCGCAATTTTTCCGTGGTATACCTTTGGTGGTGTATTTATGTTAGTATATCTATCACTACACTATTGAAAAAGTAGACATCGTTTAATGTTACTTTTATGAATTCAGAACAAGAACATCTTATCGTTCGTCCAAATGGTGTTTTAAGCATGCCTGATGATTGAGCGGTTCTTCAGTAAAATGTTGTCAGAGGCCTGTATATTACGCCCCATAATTCTAATGTCAGATTTAACAGGTCAGTAGTGAGTCTACTATATCATCAACAACGACGCTTGGATTTTTCAAATTAACATGTGAATTGAATAGAATTTGTTGATAGCCAGTACTATTAACAGATGTCCTGATTTTGTCTGGACTTCAATGAAGATCGCAAGAGTGAATGAAGAGGACCATACATGTATGGTCGATACAATGACCTTGTCAGTAAATACAATTTATCATTGAGTCAAATGCAGACTGACGTTTTTTATACAAATTATGTTAGTCCATTATTTATACGCTAAATTGACAACAGATATTTTCGTTATTTCTCGATCATGGCAAGGAGAACATGGCGGATGTGACCGATCAGCAGGGGATGCTCACAAATCCAAAAGCCTCTCCACCAATTACAGACCTTCCTTTACCTTAAATAGATGCTAAAAGAGTAATGAAACAAAGTCTCGGAAAACAACCTTGTAAATTTTATAATAAGTTTGCAAGCCAACTCAGGTTGTTCTAAGAGAAGGCAGTTGACACACTGAGTATTGATGATTTTCTAAGTAAATCTTTGATGTTCTGCAAAATTTGGGTTTTCTTCAGTGTAGAATTTTTCAAGTCATTCATTTTTTTTTTCCAGCAGATTGATCCGAAAAAAAAATCAATAAATATTTTGGGATCTCTCCTTAAATTTTGATTTAAAATGATGTAAGTGTATGTGGGGAATCGTTTCTCTAAGGTACAGCGTAATTTATATCAATTATTTACGTAGTCTGTACCTTGTCAAATTTACATATACATGTACACATACCCAGAAGTATTCCTAAACAAATACTCTTATCTGATTAAGTTTTTTTTAAATTGTGGGGGTACATGTTTTGTATTTTCCGAAAGAAAATTCCTCTGAGAAGAATGTTTTTTTACCATTTTTCGAAGAGAATACGACAAAATGCATATGTTACTGATGTATCAATCGCCATTAAGGAAGTCATATAGTAAAAAGAATTTTTAATTCTTTACTGAAAAGAATTTTATTCCTTTTTTTTAAATAAAAACACAGGGTGAAATTTGTAGTGAACTAAACATGTTCCAAGAAGTACGTATTACTTTTTCTGAGGAATCGAGCAAATATAACAAAGAATTTTTATGAAATTGACGATAAACATACGAGGGGGAAACATTAGATGAGGTTGAGGTTAACACGATACAATATTTTTGTAAATCTGCTATATCTCTATATCACTTCTTACACAATATTGAAAAAAAATAATTAAGATAATAAATTATAACATTTTTAAGCTCTAGTTTAAAATAAAACAACGAGTATTCCTTATTTATCAGTGGTTTGCAATGTACCTTGAACTCAAAAATTCCTCTTTTGTGAGTGAAAAACGTTCTTATAGTGTTTTTAAAGTAAACAAAATGCAAACATTAGTGTTAACAACTTTGTTTAGAAATATTATTATTCTCATAAATTAAAAGCAAATTTATGTAGTTTTTGTTAAATGAAACATTATAAGGAATATGAAATTGAACTTTAAAGAAAGTGTTTGTTAAAAAAGTTTTTTTTAGAAAGAAATAATTTCAATTCATGTTAAAGTAGCTTTTTGTGAACATTACCTTTTCCGACATCTGGACTGCCATCTGCATCTTCTCGTTTTATACTTCTAATATCAATGGCGGTATCTGAAAAACATTAACAAGTCTAGAAAAATCTAACATTCAAAGCGATATTTGAGAAAATAAAATATATGGGACAGCACAATCTATATAAAATATATGAAAAAGTCATTATGCAAATTCTTTCAAATCGGATGATTTTAAATCATGGCATGGGTTTAAATATAAACTAAAGATATGTTAGGTTAAGGTAATTTAATTTAAATTATGTGCAAATGTCTTTAAGGTTTTGAACGACAATTTTCTAATGCTGTTAAAAATGTGCATATACATGTACATATATTGCGATATACATGATAAAGATATTATTGGGAAATTGGCAAAGGGCACATTCACGTCCTTATGTAATGAAAATATTAATTGTTTTACCTGTTTGTAATAACACATGATTGTATTAGTTAGAAAAGGTAAACATAAATATAAGACGTGCATTACCAAACCTCACCTTCCCTGTTCTCTTGTTTTTCTTCTCCTTCACTTGTATCACCCTCTATAACTGTAAACAGAGGAAATAACACACTAAAGTTCAACATATTTTAAAAGGAATATCAAAACATATATACTCTTCAAAAAAAGAAACGCATAGTAGGAACAATGCCCTGAAAATTTTTGATAGTTTTGTCATACCTTTTATTTTTGTATGAATACGATGTATTCGAGTGAAATGAATGATTTTTTAATGCAATTGTTAACTTTACAGCTATTCTACAAGTCTCACAGACAAAAAGTCCTGATTTTGCAAAATTTTCCCCAAAATTTTGATCTCAATTTTCATTTGTTGAATTACGATGCAATTCCTTCAGGTACAAAGGGACTATCAAAAGCGGGGGTTCTCGATATTTTGAATCTGGTTTTATCTGAAAAATGACGCTTCCTTAAATTGCTGCATCTGAATGTTGCGTGGCACAAAAAGGAAAATGGGCGACTGGAAGCAGGGGTACCGCAATCTACAGTTGCAAGAGGTTTTAATGTTACACATAGACCATATCTAACCTATAAAACATAAACCATTAACATCGAACACCCAATGTTCGCAAAAAATATGGTAGACTACATGTGACATCAGCAGCACAGCATCACTTCCGAGGATTACGCAAATTGCTTGAATGTAATGCAGGGACGTCATCTAAAGCATTAGCTATCCCTGAACTGCACAGATCATCTAACAAGACCGTTTTCAGTTGTCTACAAATTATTGAAAAAGGATTATTCATGCCGTTGTTCCGACCCCACAACACCCCAAATATCGACTTCAAAGATTTCAGATAAATAGAGTATGACCACAGCATCACTGCCGAACATTTTGGTTAACCTACTAGTCCAGAATGTTTATCTGAAAGCCTCTTATAAGTTTAAGAGTGCTAATGCTTTTTAATGAAGGTTAGATAGATAACTGCCTCCAGGACGTTAAAAAAGTTGGTGGTGGTAGTGTAATGATATGGAAAATGGTATTATAAGAAAGTAAGATTGATTTGGTTCGAATTCAATGGTCTTTGATGGAAAAAGGTACTCTAACCATGTTCTACCTACACATACCCATTCAATTTTGCAGCATCCTAGAGCCGTATTGTAATCTAACAATACACAGCCACATATGGCTCGTTTGACACACCTATTCTTGCAAAGAAACAACAACCTGTTTCAGTCACAGTCATCTAAATCGCTAGATTTAATCCAAATTAAGCAGCATAGGACAAAATTGATTTTCATGATTTGCCAAAGACAATTGCATCCCCAGACTCTGCAACAGCTGACTAAAGTTCTACATTTGGAGTGGGAGAGTATTCATATGCAGTTTTTTTTACACACATTTGCTTCCATTAGATGCTGTTTGTGGCTATTATTTGTGTCTGCGGGGGGCATACCAGATATTGATCTTTAATGGTCTTAAACTGACTATAATTTTAAAATTGTTGAGTAATTATGACATTTAGATAGTATTCCTGTTGCTTACCACATTTCTGTTTTATCAATGCATCATTTTACTAAATAATTTTTATGTTCAATGTGTCACTAAAATTCCACGATGCGTTTCTTTTTTTGAAGAGTATAAATATGTACTTTCGATGGGTTAAATTTCTTTTCTACATAACATTTTTTTTTCTTGGTACTTTGTTAAAAAAGTGTACAAACTTTTTCTTTGTAGTGATACATTGTGGTGATAAGACATAAACTGTATGAGAATTTCTTAAACATCGCAGACCATGTCAATTTTTGATATAACATCTTTAAAATTTAAACGCTCTCATTATCATGTGTACAAATTTTTAACTGTTAATATTACAAAATAAATATTTTTTATTTTCAAAATTAAGATGTTTTGTTCCCCGAAAAAAAAATTATCACCCAATTTTTTCTTTTTTTTTTTTTTTTTTTTTTTTGATTCTTTTTATTATTATTATTTTTTTTTTTTTGCTTACCATTGTTCCAGTTTCATAATTTCATATGTCATATTTTACTGCGTAACTCTGATAGGAGAATAATAATACAGCAAATCTTTAAACATGAAGTTTTGCTTTCTAAATAGTAGCAAATTAGTTTTGTTAAGAATGTAAGGAATGTAATAATTTCAATAATTATGTATGGTTTGTCTAATCGTTCATTACAGAAAACTTTGTATTTTGATGATCTGATGAATTGGTGTTTATATTGATGTATCCAAAGATGTAAAATCAAGATTTTCTAAACAACACGTTCCAATCAATTTCTCCATCTCACGTGTACTTCTAGTAAATAAGTCTGAAAACCAAAAAGTACGTTTTTCATTTTGGAATGTTTAATACTCACGTTTGCTTGGTTCCAGTAAATGATGTTTTTCTTCTGCTATGTAAAAAAATTAATGAATTATGATAATGATACATGTTATAAATCAAAATTTGAAACTGACTGATGTCAATGGTATCCTTCTTGAACAAAATCAAATCAAAAATATTTAGGAGCAGTAAGGGATTTTATATATATATGAATCATTGCCATGGGTTTAAATATAAACTATAGATATGTTAGGTTAAGGTAATTGAATTTAAATTATGTGCAAATGTCTTTAAGGTTTTGAACGACAATTTTTTAATGCTGTTAAAAATGTGCATATACATGTACATATATTGCGATATACATGATAAAGATATAACTGGGAAATTGGCAAAGTGCACAATCATGTCCTTATTTTAGGAAAATATTAATTGTTTTACATGTTTGTAATAACACATGATTGTATTAGTTAGAAAAGGTATACATAAATATAAGACGTGCATTACCAAACCTCACCTTCCCTGTTCTCTTGTTTTTCTTCTCCTTCACTTGTATCACCCTCTATAACTGTAAACAGAGGAAATAACACACTAAAATTCAACATTTTTAAAAGCAAAATCAAAACATATAAATATGTACTTTCAATGGATTAAATTTCTTTTCTACATAACATACAAAATCAAAAACATTTAAATATGTAATTTTGATGGATAATTTTTTTTTTTCTACACAACATTTTGTTCTTGGTACCTTGTTAAAAAAGTGTACAAACTTTTTCTTTGTAGTGATACATTGTGTCGATCAGACATAAACTGCATGAGAATTTCTTAAACATCGCAGACCATGTCAATTTTTGATATTACATCTTCAAAATTTAAACGCTCTTATTATCATCTGTACAAATTTTTAAATGTCACTATTACAAAATACAAATACATGTTGTTTATTTTCAAAATTAAGATGTTTTGTTACCCCGAAAAAAATATTATCACCCGATTTTTTTCTTTCTTTCTTTCTTTTTTTTTTTTTTGATTTTTTATTATTATTATTTTTTTTTTTTGCTAACCATTGTTCCGGTTTCATAATTTAATATGTCATATTTTACTGCGTAACTCTGAGAGGAAATAATAATACAGCAAATCTTTAAACATGAAGTTTTGCTTTCTAAATAGTAGCAAATTAGTTTTGTTAAGAATGTAAGGAATGTAAAAATTTCAATAATTATGTATGATTTGTCTAATCGTTCATTACAGAAAACTTTGTATTTTGATGATCTGATGAATTGGTGTTTATATTGATGAATACAAAGTATATAAAATCAAGATTTTCTAAACAACACGTTCAAATCAATTTCTCCATCTCACGTGTACTTCTAGTAAATAAGTCTGCAAACCAAAAAGTACATGCTTTTCATTTTGAAATGTTTAATACTCACGTTTGCTTTGTTCCAGTAAATGCTGTGTTTCTTCTGCGATGTAAAAAAATAATGAATAATGATAATGATACATGTTATTAATCAAAATTTGAAACTGATTGATGTCAATGGTATCCTTCTTGAACAAAATCAAATCAAAAATATTTAGGAGCAGTTAGGGAGTTAATATAGTTAATATAGTTAATATAGTTATATATATATATATATATATATATATATATATATATATATATATATATATATATATAATCCAAAAGTTTGAGAAAAAATCCACACAAGTATTTAAATAGTAAAAAATAACAGAATGCTGAGTAAAACTCTACCGGTTTCAATTGTATCATCAGGAGTTTTCAAGAACTCCTGATTATACAATTGAAACCAGTAGAGTTTTAATCGGCGTTCTGTTATTTTTTACTATATATATATATATATATATATATATATATATATATATATATATATATATGAATCATTGCCATGGGTTTAAATATAAACTATAGATATGTTAGGTTAAGGTATTTGAATTTCAATTATGTGGAAATGTCTTTAAGGTCTTGAGCGAAAATTTTCTAATGCTGTTAAAAATGTGCCTATATATATACATATATTGCGATATACATGATAAAGATATAACTGGGAAATTGGCAAAGTGCACAATCATGTCCTTATTTTAGGAAAATATTAATTGTTTTACATGTTTGTAATAACACATGATTGTATTAGTTAGAAAAGGTATACATAAATATAAGACGTGCATTACCAAACCTCACCTTCCCTGTTCTCTTGTTTTTCTTCTCCTTCACTTGTATCACCCTCTATAACTGTAAACAGAGGAAATAACACACTAAAATTCAACATTTTTAAAAGCAAAATCAAAACATATAAATATGTACTTTCAATGGATTAAATTTCTTTTCTACATAACATTTTTTTCTTGGTACTTTGGTCCCGTGGGGATCCGGGTTAGAGGAGGTCCTCAGTACCCCCTTGCTTGTCGTAAAAGGCGACTAAATGGGGCGGTCCTTCGGATGAGACCGTATAAACCGAGGCCCCGTGTCACAGCAGGTGTGACACGAAAAAGATCCCTCCCTGCTCAAAGGCCGTAAGTGCCGAGCATAGGCTTAAATTTGCAGCCCTTCACCGGCAATGGTGACGTCTCCATATCAGTGAAATATTCTGGAGAGGGACGTTAAACAGTATACAATCAGACATAAACCATGACAATTTTTAATATTACATCTTCAAAATTTAAACGCTCTAATTATCATTTGTACAAATTTTTAACTGTTACTATTACAAAGTACATGTTGTTTATTTTCAAAATTTAGATGTTTTGTAACCTCGAAAAATATATATATCACCTGATTTTTATTTATTTTTTTTTTTTCATTATTATTATTATTATTATAATTATTTTATTTTATTTATTTATTTTTTTTTTGGGGGGGGGGGGCTAACCAATGTTCCAGTTTCATAAGTTTCATATATTATATTTTATTGCATAACTCCGATAGGAAAATAATAGTACAGGAAATCTTTAAACATGAAGTTTTGCTTTTTAAATAGTAGCAAATTAGTTTTGTTAAGAATGTAAGGAATGTAATGATTTTAATTATTATGCATGATTTATCTTATTATTCATTACAGAAAACTTTGTATTTTGATAATCTGATAAATTGATGTTTATATTGATAAATACAAACAGGTAAAAGAGTTTCTAAACGACACATTCAAATCAATTTCTATGTATGCTCGGGATATTTATATTGCTAGACTATTTTGCTTGTGCATTCACGCAAGTGAGCTGTGGCTAAACATGGACGTTTCATTGCAAACGAGTTAATAAAAATTCATAAGATGTAAATTTTGTGTGCAGAAAAATTTCAAATTGATTTTCTTATGCATAATTAGTACCCACAATATATAAATGCAAGTGCGCATTATGACGTCACATTATCTCTCATTCAAGGTTATAAAACACATCAACAAAACAACGTCGGCGCAAGGGCAAATCCTATTTAATTTTTAAAAGATACTGTATAATATTACGGAGAATATCCTAAAGATGAATAAAATTGCTGCAATAATCCTATGCACTTTCTCCATCCATTACAATTTTTGGAAACTTACACTGGACTGTGATTTTTTAACCCGTTTAAACTTAAAACTGCACGAAAAGTAACTAAACAACTGCAGTGCCGACATTTGTGCAGCAGTATCTTAAAACTTTGGAATATCGTGCGTCTTTAATTACCTTGTTTCTGTAAAGCAAAGTATGGTATGCCCTTGCGCTGAAGCGATTTTGTTGATGTTTCTTATAAACTTGTATTGTATAGGTCGGTGACGCCATAACATGACGTCATAATGCGTACTTGCTATCGCATGCCGTAGGTACAATACTTGTATCAGAAAACAAGTTTTAACATTTTCTGTTCGGTAGATATAGCAATTCTGGAATTTAATTAGAAATTTTGCATAGAAACCTCCATATATAGCCTTAACTCACTTGCGCAGAGGGTGGTATTGCATTGTTTATCTTATCCAGTTATGATTCAAATGGATCCTTGTACTGGTTATTCATTTATTTCATTTTGAAAATAAACATTTTTACATACTTCCATACAATATCTACAGGACATATTGAGCTTAAGGTAAACAAACATTTAAACAAAAAAAAAAAAATAAAAAAAAACATTTTGGGTTTTGGAAAATTATTTTAAAGTTATCAAAACATCCTTTAAAATGAATCAAAATTTATAATTTTTTTTTTGATTTTTGCTCTTTCAAATAATCTTTGGGAGAAGTTAGGGATTATATATATATATATATATATATATATATATATATATATATATATATATATATATATATATATATATATATATATATATATATATATGAATCATTGTCCCATGTGATTTCTTTACTTCATGACCTGTGCTCCAAATTGTTATTAAAAAGACTAAATAGATTAAAGGAAGTCGAGGTAAGTCCAGAGTAAAAATATTTTAAAACAAATTTATTGCATGTTTTATGTTAAATACTCACGTTTGCACTTTTCCTTTAAACGAAGTTTCTCTTCTGCTATATAAAATAAATAAATAAATAAATAGATAAATAAAGAAAGATAGAAAGAAAGAAAGAAATGAAAGAAAGAAAGAAAGAAAGAAATTATAATACATGTAATAAATCAACATTTAATATTGACTGTTGTTGTTCAATTTTCATCTGTATCCTGTTTTAATTAAAATCATGAATGTAAAAGATCGATGTTCATTTATATGTTTCCTTACATTGAGAAAAACTAATTAGAAAAGCTTTAAGAGAGACATTGTAACACCCCTAAATGAGTGCTAGTGTGTAATACGGTTTCGTAGAGGGATGATTAGATTTGAATTCGGAAAATTTTACCAGACTAAAATGAGAAAAAAAAACACTAACAAAAGCAAAGGTTTGAATGCATGTTTGAAACGTTTATATTGCTAGACTATTTTACACGTGCATTCAGAGGGAGGTGATGCATTGTTTATTATCCGATTATAATTCAAATGAATCCATGTACTGCTTATACATGTATTTCATTTTGAATGTTACATTTTAACATACTTACACACAATATTTACAGGACACATTGGGCTCAATTTAAACAGAAATGAAATAATATCTATGTTTCTTTTGTTTTAGCTTTCTTTGGGAGCATTTTAGTGATTTGTTTTATATTCCATTGCCCATGTAATCCCTTACTTCATGATGACTAGCTCTTTCAATTGACATAAAAAGCTTTAATAAAGGTTAATAGAAGTCAAGGTTCGTCAAAAGTTTTTTTTCTAATGAATTTAATCCGTGTTCTAGGTCTTGCTGTAAAATTCGATTTTTTTTTATTTTCTGAGATTATTTTTTCCTTATTTTCTCACTGATTGTATTTGTGATCATTTTACCTTCTTGTTGAGTAAGTTTCCTTTCAAGTTTCTTTTTTGTCATGACAGTCCATAATATAACAATGAAGAATGCAACATTCAAACATATCATTACTAGAGCTACAATCTGCCATGTCGTCTCTGCAGAGTAATCAGAATACTTTTCTGTATATCTGTAATTAAGATAAAAGGAACATGTATATTAAGCCAATGGGAGAAGTCACTGATACGCAGGTGACTTAGGACCTGTTAACTTAAATACAACGTCATTCCGAAAGCACCATTCAACACTGTCATATAAACACAGTGCAATCAAACTAAATTAAATTGTATTTTAAATTTTGATAAAGTGTGATCTCTGTAAAACAAAAGACAGTTAACACTTGCAGTTATGCATTGTCAGAATGCAATATATAATTTTTGAGTGTTTATACATATATCAAATTGGACAAGAAGGAACAATATAAAATACCCGCTGGACAGTGATGTCGCATTCTTTGTCTTTCTATCCACATTCTCAAAGCATTCATGATCTGTCAAAGCAAAAGATGAAATAATTTTTTTTCGTATACAAACATGTATTCTCTGTAATTTTGAGGATTATTTTAAGTTATAGGGTGAATTCACCATGCATCCGACACCCTTGTACTTCAACAAGCTCTAGTGATATCGCTACCAATGGAAAATTATCAAAATGGAGCTAAACACTTAGTATGTGATTAAAATATAAATTTGGGACCCAATTATATGCCTTTTATTAAGAAAATATCACCACAAATTGATTTTTTCTAAAAAGCTCAAAATTCACTATGAGTCGGACATTATTTACTATGCATCGGTCAGACGGTATTTCAACCGAAAGAAATATCATACCTTTAACACAATGCTTTAAAACCCTTGGTATGGATATGCTTTTATATTTTATCTAAGAAATAACCCTCAAATTAAATTTATTTGACGATGATATCGTTGCACAAATATAGAAAAGTTGCCTTACTTTGCCTTAGAATGGCTTTAGAATGCTTGTAATGCGGTAATTTGCACCTTTTTCTCGTGAGTTAAAATACGCTGGTTTGTATAAATAAATTGAGTCAGATTCTAAACGTAATATATCGAAAACTTGTATTTTGACTGTAAATTTAGAGTTTCTATTTTCTATTTCCGCAAAAAACAACGGTCAGTTGGGTTCTGTATGAAAATTGTAATGATTAACTTTGCGTCGGAAAGTGTCCGATGCATGGTTAATTTGAGTCCGATGTACGGTGAAATGAGTATAGCAGTAAAAACCAGCTCTAATAAGAATTAAACAAAGAATTAAACAAACAAAGTAAAATTTCTTTATACTTTATGTAAAACTACAAAATCTCCAAAGTCTAACTCGTTCCGTGAAAGTCAAATTTAAAAGAACGATAACTTTAAAAATTGAAAAATCATAAATTTCGGGTTATTCCCCTTTGGTGATGTCAAATATGACGTAACTCCAAGGCCATTCTTGGGGTAATTTATCACAACATGATAAAAACAATCGGTATCATTAAAAAAATTAAATCATCTTTAAGACAGAAACAAATAAATACACAGAACTCTTAAGTTGAAAGAGAGTGTATTGCCTAAAGTTGTCCGAAGCAAGGTATGTGTCCGATGCATGGTGAACTCACCCTATATGGTATAAAAATGAAGAGTTTTGCTAGTTTGTAGTTTTCATGCAATGAAACCCCAGTCGGCCTCTTTAAGGGTCCTAGTTGGGCCAAAACAATTTCATCTTTAACTTTTTCCTATCAATGTTTTATTATAAATTACTGAAGCAACAATGTTTATCTAAACAATCTGCTATAATATTTTGCAATCATGATCTTATGTTACGTAATTAAAAGCAATATGGGACCAATATGCTTATCTGTGATTCTTTATAACTCCAAAGGTAGAAGTATTTCGATAAGAATTCTCATTTGTTTTAGTTTTGAGTTAGATTTTCCACTCGGAGTGTATTGGATGTTATTGAGGTTATATTATCGATCTATTGCATACCAATCTCTCACAACACGTTTAGCAGCTGTTTGAATTTAAATTATACACCTGTATCAAACATGCATGAACCTATAAAAATATTCAATGCTCTGACAGTTTAAACTAATGAATTTATTATTGTCATTTCATATTTATTTTTGATTTTAGAATACGATTCTGAACATCGTTTATTCAATAATAATTTATATTGAAAGATAGTTTATAAAAAAACAACCGCCGAAATATGGCTGAAAAATTGTCGACTCGGCGTTAAACAATATACAATCAATATAACAAAACAATAGATGAATAGATTTTTTGATTTTCCCTTATGACGTTGCACTTCCTCGGAATTCAACGTTTGTGACATATAAAGAAAATGACCCTAATGTCGTATTACATGTATGATGTTTTAAATGCAATATTTTTATCAGAACTTTATATATAGGTGAAATACAATGTGTAATGTAAATATCAATTGATTGAATGCAAGTCAGATATTCCAATGTCAATTAATTGACATGAATAATGTCAACAAGCTGTTACATATTTATACCACGGCATAATTGATCCTGGATCTGTCTAACGCCATGGCGTTATGCATACGAAACCAAATTCATGAAATGTATGCTTTTGGCTGTGACATGAATGGTAATAATTATACACATGTCCCTTTAAGATATTCCAGAAAAAAAAAACAGGCATGCATTATCTATCATTGATAATCGTATTTGTGTTCAAGGATTGATAATCTTAAATCTAGAATTACATAAAATGTAATCAAAATATTATATTTAGATGTTTTTCAAATGACGTGAAATATATTTTCTTCATAAGAGATCTGTTCAATTTTTATCAATATTAATGTAGGATTCTTCTCACATAAATTTTTTTGTATTTAGAAATTAATTTAATTTTCAAAGAATGAAGAAGAAGACAATATTACTAAGAATTGGTATGAGTTAATTAGATTACTTTTGACCATTTTATATTAGAGTCAAGGTCAGTTCAAGAACAATACTTTTCCCTGGACATTAAGAATAAAATTAACTGCATCCAATCATACAACTTAGGGAGTCTTCTATTTCAAAAGATTAAATGTTTTTCATTTAGCATAAACAGGTATTATTATATAGGGTCTATAAGAAGATATCACCAAATTGACACAAATAATTAAAGAAAAAAAAAGATTTTAGCTAATCCGAATTTTCTCTATTTTTCTTTATTTTTAAAGATACTTAAGTTATATTAATATGCGACCTACATTTATTTTTTTTCTTATTTTCACATATGGTAAAGCAGTCATATAGAGTCAAACAGAAATGATACAAATAAAATGAAACAAAATGATACAAAAAACAAAAAGTTTTGACCGTTTATTGAGAGAGTAAAAACATTTTTTACGGATTTTGGCTCATACCTGTACTTAGATCGGGAGCTTTTAAAAGCTAACATAGTTGAAGTTTATTTGAAAAATCATATTCATTTGATATATTTCAAAATTTTAAAATTTTAGTCTCTTATTGATAATTAAACTTACATTTAAAAAAATTGAAAGTCTTTGACTAAAAGTCTTTAACTAAATTCGTTGTTCAATAAAAATTAAATTGAATCACATGGTTCAAAGTGCCCACGTGTTTTAACCACCGTAACGTAATATTGCAATACTTACATTTATAGACAGCAGTGGATAGGTAAGAAAATGGACATGAACTGTTACACTTGAGGTATGGACTTTCCTGAATAATTGCTCCCCTCACATTATATTCAACACATCTGCTTCCTGTGGATAAGAGTTCGAAAAGAACAGTATTTAACTGCATGCAAGTAAAAAAAAACAGGACAGAAAAGTTACTGACTACACAAAGTTAATATTTCTGATTTGATTGTTTTTAACATTTGTTAGTTTTAAAACTATATGAAACTATAAATTCAAGTATCAATGACTTTTTATGCCAAGATATAATATGAACTACTCCCCCTTGTAAGTTCATGTTAAAAACACATTTCTTTAAATGAAAATGATTTTTTTTAAACTTTTTTGAACATTTGTATTCATTTGTAATTGCTGCTAGCCTTTTTAGCTCACCTGAGCCGAAGGCTCAAGTGAACTTTTCTGATCAAAATTAGTCCGTTGTTTGTCTTAGTTGTCGTCGTAGTCGTCGAAGTCGTCGTTAAGGTCGTCGTTGTAAGCTTTTCACATCTTCTTCTCAAGAATCACTGGGCAAATTTCAATTAAACTTGGCACAAAATATCCTTGGGTAAAGGGGAATACATTTTGTTCAAATGAAGGGCCACGCCCTTATTTAAGGGGAGATACTTGAGAAATAGTGAAAATTTGGTGGTATGTTCTAAAAAATTATCTTCTCAAAAACAACTGTGCCAGAAAATTTGAAACTTATAGTGAAACATCCTCAGGTAGTGTAGATTCAAGTTTGTTCAAATCTTGACCCCTTGGGGTAGGGCGGGACCACACTGTTAAGTCTAATCTTTACATAAAAATATATCGGAAAATTATCTTAAAATCTTTTCAAGAATAACAAAGGCATGAAAGATCATATTTATATGGAAGCATCCTCAGGTAGTGTAGATTTAAGTTTGTTCAAATCATGACACCCGGGGTAGGGTGGGGTCACAATTGCTGCTCAAAGTTTACATAGAAATAGAGGAAAATTGTTTTAAAATCTTCTTCTCAAGAATCACTGTGCCAGGAATTATGAAACTTACAGTGAAGCATCCTAAGGTAATATATGTTCAATTTTGTTCAAATCATAACCCCCGGGGATAGGGCGGAATCACGATGGCCGATCAGAATTTTTCATAGAAAGAAATAGGGAAAATCTTTAAAAAATCTTCTTCTAAAGAATAGCAAAGGCATGAATGATCATATTTATATGAAAGCATCCTCAGGTAGTGTAGATTCAAATTTGTTCCAGTCATGACCCCCGGGAGTAGGCGAGACCACTATGTAAATTCAAATGTAAAGGGCACTAAAACCACAGGTACTCAAAGAAATCTGCAAGAAACCTTAGTAAGTGTTGATTCAAGTTATTTTTTTTTTTTAATTATACCCTCTCCCTTTTAAGAGTTTATTGGAACAACTTTTGGGATTAAACTTTTCAACAATAAATTAACTGATTTCTACTTTTTTCCCAAGCTACAATGCTCATTTGAACGATATTGCCCATATGGCCTCTTGTTAAAAATCACCTTTATTAATTAATGTTATGATTATATCTTTCAACATAAATATTTTTCACTATAAATATTTTTCACTATAAACATTTTTCATTATAAATACTGTATACAGGGTTATTTTCGCCCCTTTTTATTTTCGCTCTTTCACACTTGCGGACAATTTTGCCTCGTTTTAAATTCGCCCTTTCAAGATTTATTTAAGTAATTATGCTGTACCATATGAATTCACCCCGTTTTAAATTCGTCGAAATGAGGCTAGGGCGAAAGTGACAAAAATTAAACGGGGGCGAAAATTTCCTTGTATACGGTATTTCCTTGGCATTATTTGCAATTTATGCAACGTTGTTTTTATCATTTCTAATAATTAAACAGAATGAATGTGACTTAAAAGCATTCACCTATTATTCTTACTTCCGGTGCACACACTTCTAAAGTTTCATTAATAAAGCTGTTAAGGACGCAATGGTAAACCGAATCCCCGCCTTCAGGGCACTGTTGCTGAAAACGAGAACAGTTCTTTTCAGCTGATCTTCGTTTCCATTCATCTTCATTTGTAGGGCAGGACAGAACTGGAGACATAGTTTGTCTGGATTGTGGGCAAGGTAACGTGGCAGCATTTCTAGCCAGAAACTAAAATTTCAAATAAATTTGAACAGTTTGTATTTTATACATTGCTCCAATGGAATTGTTTATTGGAATAGTAACGGTTGTAATACATACCAATAATAATTGTATAGAAATACAAAGGTTGGGCATGACGCTGTAGAAGAAACTGTTTTTATCTGAAAGGCACAAAGTGATGCAGAATGAAATAGACTGTTGAATCGGAATGGAATATTTTAAGTTTAGCGTACATGGGTTATTCTTTGCTTTTTATCGCAGTGTGTTGTACATTTTTTGGGTAAAATATAGCAAGTGAAGAAAGAATAAGACACTTACACAAGTCCAGTTGAAGGAGCTATTAGAAGATATACATATGCATGTTTGAAACTTTCATTATATACAGAAACTTCTTTTTTCTTTTAAAGATTGAAGATTGAGGATATACATTTTTCAGCGGATTTTTTCCCCCAAGAAAACATAACGCACATGCATCGAATAGATTTTGAGGTATGTGATAATATATTCAAAAATAAAAGTGGCTGCAGATTTTTTTTTTCCTTAAGGAAAATGAGCATATAAATGAGTCATTTTAAAGATATTTTGCATAAAACTTTGAATTGTAGCAAATGAATTAATAACGTCATTTACACTATCCATAATACTTCTCCGTCATCCTTGTTTTCCTTATCAAAACCTTCTTAGAAAACAATGTTAAAGGCAATTTTATAACTTTTATAAAAAGAATATTCAAGTTTTAAGAAACAACACAGTCAAATTCGTACCGTCCTCTTATGTCCAATGTATTATTATATTTAGTTCCCTTTCAAAGGGTACTGTGGAATCACCATTGTTGGGGGACCAGTGTTCGTGGCTTTCGTTGGTAACCCTGACCCACGAATTTACATACTAACGAACGTATATACAATGTACAAACATTTGATTTTTTTCTAAAAAAAAAAAAAAGGAACGATTAGACGGATTATCTTATATCGTAAAATAACCTTTACCCTTGTGTGCGTGTGATTGCGCATAAAGAAGAAATTATGTATATGTATATGTATGGTTATTGACACAAAACCAATATAAAAAAAAACCAAAATATTAAGTATCAAAGGCATCAATTACTATAAACAATAAGTGATAAAATTATAATAATTGCAACTGTTAAATTTAAAAAGTGTTTATATAATAGTCTAACACTCTTACATGTCCCTTTGATGAGGGCACTTGAATTTTCAGTGCGATTTTGGAGCGGGTGCTAATTAGCCAATAATGGTTTCATAATAGTCGTTTTAAGTTCAATTTTGACATTGTCGTCATGGTAGTCGTTGTTCTTATTTAGAGATTTAAAAACATCTTCTGCATACCAATGGTGTACTTTATATAATCATAATTTACAGCGACATCATGACTGTAATTTGTCTGTGCAAGCCGACGGTCCATTTTAATTTGTTTTCACAAGATAGATAACCTAACATTGGCGGAGTTATCCTTTTTTGTTTTGAATTTGGAGAAAAAAAAAGAAATAGGACGTGTTACCAACGAAATTATGTCCCCACGAACCAGGACATTTTTTTTGCGACCCACAAAATTTGACCCCCACGAATATAATTGATTTCACAGTATCCTTCAAAATCATAATTATGTTTATTTTGAATTAACATTAACAAACTGAATTTGATAACCATGCTTAAACTGGATACAAAAACTACATAGAATCCTAATAAAAGATACCGGGTTCCACTAAATGTTTAACAATCCTTTTTGTTAAATTCATTTCTTACTAGAATACAAACAGCGGTGAAGGAGAAACTAAAGGAATAGTGTACTAGCATTCCATTTTTATCAACAAAATTCCATCTGTCAACCATTTTCAAATATTATTTAATTCGCAGCATTTAGATCACATCAGAATAGTTAAATGCTATCAATTACATTTTAGTATATAATAAACATTTAGATGCGTATGTTTAAACTTTAATTTTAAGATATTTGGAAACAATAGGTTAGGTCTAAGTAGACTGATTTTTTTAACAATAATAAAATCCTATCTGTTACTTCTTTGTGAAATACATGGGTGTATAATTAAATAATAAAACAAAACATTCATTGGTCACAAAAACTTTGTAGTATTTAAGAGATTCATTGAGATATATAAAGTTCCTAATTATTTCACACTACTTTTTTTCTTGCCATCAACTTTGATTTATATTTACTTTTTTTTATTAAACAAAATGCATCTGTTTCATGTCTCGGGACGCCCCCCCCCCTTTTTTTGTTTGTTTTTTGTTTTGTTTTGTTTTGTTTTTTTTTTTTTTTTTTGTTTGTTTATTGCACATATAACCCTATGTTAATACATAAAAATAAAGCAGATAGAGGACTCTCGTACATTTATCAGATCGGCTTCACGGCTTAGGTGATAGATGTTGTTAAAGATTGCAATGGTTGTATTAACACATATACATGAATCATATTAAAATTGTTCAGTTTTTTTTTTTCATTTTAATTCAAATTTCATTTTGAAGCACATGTTGCATGTTTATATATTCACAACAAGAGTCAGCACACATTGTTCATCATATTCATAATGACCTGTTTCCTTTAAAGTCTCAACCTAAATGTTGAAAAAGGATACTTAAAACATATTATTCCGTTTTTGCTTTGTTCTTATTTTTTATTGTTTTATGAATTTTGAGATTTAATACTGTTCGTTATATCTATATCCTCCTTGTACATACATGTAATTCATATCAACATACCTGTGACTACGTGTGTCCCCGATATGCAGTTCACTAGGAGCTATGTCGTCTGCTTTTTACTTTGCAAAAATGAATCAATAAAAAAATACAATGCTAGGGTGTCGCATGTATCAATTTCAACAACAGACTATTTTCAATATTTATTTTCTAACCAACTTTAATAAAATAAGGTATACTTTAAAAAAATATTACATGAAAGTTTGTAGCATGATTAAAAGAGATTTATTTTGATGATTGTTTGTTGCAACATTTAATTTGAATGTTTTCAGCCCCACTAATGAAAAAAAAAAACGACGCTTAATGTTAGCATATTAACGATGATCAATTAACTTAACCAAACCTTTTAAACACCTTATTAAAAATGCAAATAACAGCAGCCTACCTTTATTTTACACGATACTGCAATTCATTTACGGTTAAACACAAAGCAAAAATAAATCAATTTTATTTTTTTCAACGGCCCTCCTAAATTCAAGGTCATTAGCTGCAATAAAAATAACTTTGCAGCGTGCACGCCATGCCCTATTTCACATAAAAGAAAGCTATGGAAATTTGAGAACATTTAAAAATGAAACACACACATGTCAACGGAGCTTTATGGAAGGCAAATAAGTATCGAAGAAATGAATATGTAATGAAATTAAGACTTTCTTGAATGGATTTAATTTCTTTCATCATTATTTTTTTCCCAAAGTTTTTGAAGGTTATTCGACCTGCAAAATACTTTATTATTTCTTTTCAACTTATAAGAATGGGTAAATACGGATTAAGTTTGTTAAAACAAATATTTAGATTTGTCAGGAAATTAATCAGCCTGATTGATTATGGAGTATATCACAAGCCTTCCGTAAACTTTTAAACGTCTGACAAAAGTGGGAGAAACAGCTTTTTTTTATATTTGATTGCGAGTGGGAAAAATGGGGCTAGGAGAGTTAAAATCAGTTTTTTTTTTATTTTTTGCCATTTTTTAAATTCTCATAATGTTAATAAAATTGTGTCAATAAACCAAATTCATATCTGAAGGGGTTTTGACGATATGACCAGATCTGTTCATTGACCCTTTATAGAGTTACTGTATTGCATACAAAGACAATGAAAACAGGGAAAATGCACTTTTTCTATGATATTGAACCTGAACTTAAAATTTAAAACCAGGGAAAAGTAATGACTTCAATATACACTTTTTCTAAATGTACAGAAATGCACTTTATAAGGGCATACTGAAACAAAATAGTAGATGTAGATGTACATACACCCATGTACAACGTACTTAAAAAGGATGATGTGGTGGTATATACAACTAATCACTTTAACAGTAAAGCATGAAAGTAAATAATTTATGCAAAGCATAAAGTAACGAGCACACTATAATATATGGATAAATCACATATTGACAGATAATCATGAAAGTGTTACAAGGTAAAATGAATAGAAAAAATTCATGTTACAGTTGTACATCGCACCTTTAACTTAATAGAGCATGTGTTGGATAAAACATGTCAATTGACATTGACAATTACATATTAAAGAAATCGCCATCAGTGAATCATAACTTGCCCTACTTTAAACAAACCGCCATACAGATACTGATCAAACAGTGTTATTAACATGTGCATGACAAATTTCATACATATAGAAAATCTGAATTGACCAGGTAATATGTAAAACAATCAATCACAACTTTGCAACACTAGAAAACCATAAATGTTTTGATAAAACAATGTTGAAACATGTACAAAGCACACGTTGAAAACATGTACAGAATTTACCAGAGAACTTGTAAATCTTTCCTATAAACTTCAAGTAAAGCAAACATGTTTTAATAAAATACCTTACATTTTAGAAATTGTTCATACATGTTGAAACATGTACATAATTCACAATCAGTGAATTTCATGTACAAGCTTAATTCAGTAAAGCATTTTTTTCTTCCACTTTTGGATTATATTCTTCACAGTATTCTGTTAAATCTCTTTCTTTTTTGGGAACATTAGGTTTTGAACATATGCATTCTTTTGCTGTCTCTGAGTAACAATGCTCTCTGATGTGGTCATATAGGTACCATTGTCGGGCAGGTTCAAGGCCTTTAATGACTGATGGAGAAGGAAAAGCATCTGGATTCGGAACTTTACTCTTACTGTTCAGTAACATGAAGGTGACATGCTCAGAGGAAGCATTTTCCTGACATGCAATAATTCCTGAATTCTCCGAATCCATGTAGAAATGTAGGTAGTGGATTAGGTACATGTATTTCAGTGGTTTAAAGTACAGTTCTAAATAACTTCCATCCAAAGAAAATGACAGGATCTTTACCATCACCTACAACCTGTGGTATATTATGACCACTTCTGCTGGAAGTCCTAACGGATTCTGCCACCTTAAACACAATCATAGGAAAAATGTTTTGAAACATTGAAACTGGATACCTGTATATTTTCATGCATTTATAATTAAAGTACCTGTGGTATTGTTTCAGCATTGGCGTTTCTCCAGTGCACCTTCCAAACACCAAAAGGCCAGTCTGGCTCAAATTCTGTGTCACCAGCTACCATCATCAAGTATTCTATGGTTCTGTGTAGCCCAGAAGAAAATCTTGGAAACTTAATATCCTTTCCTTTCCTTGAGATGCTGTTGATATATATTGAAAAAAATCATGTAAAGTGTTGATACCACTAATAAAACGAGTGAACACATTACGCACTACCAATTACAGAAATTATAACATCAGCATCAACCTACCTATTAACACTCTCCATACCATAACACAACATTGTTTTTATTTTGCCCTGTGCAATTATCAAAGCGAACCTTGAGATCTGTTTCTCCATGCCCAAACTTATCAACGTAATGGTGCATCATGCTTGTAACACAATTGGCTCCTCTCCCAGGATTAGCTGCTTCATCAATGTGATAAAAGGTCTGTTCCTCTTTAAAATAAGCATGAACACTTAATAACAAATGAAATAAACAACTGTCCAAATATACAAGTTGTAAGTAGTTATGCAGCAATTACATAACACAAGTTTTTCTCCATAGATATGTCAATGTAGTTTATTTTTAAAAATTATAATCATATAAATAAAAATCAAAGATGTTACATGGTAAATGTAACATTGTAATGTTTAAAAAGGGTTCCCCAGAAAAAGAAAAAATCATAATAAAAGGTATAAATGAAATCTTTGTTAAAATAAATGATGTGATATAAGTATTTAGATCATGAATATCTCCAAAAGGAAAAATATTCCTTAGAACAATTTGATGAGGAAAATTACCTGATACTTAAGAGGAGATCGATACCAAAAAATATGGCATTTACGAGGGGTTTCTTAAGTAAATCGGCCCCACTTATTGAGCATGGTGTGGAATATGAACCTGTTGAGCAAAATCCCATGATTAGTGCAAGGCTTTTTGAACGGAATATGGTGGGTTACCTATTAAAAAATCACAATGTTTTTGATACATGTAAAAGATAAATTTTCGTTAAAAAACTTTACTCTGATACAGAAGATACATTGTATTAAAATAAATATTACAAACAAATTATGTGGTTGAGCTCTTCAGCACATTTTGGTTTGAAAACTTACCTGAACGACAGTGAGAAAACAATTCCACTTTAATAATCAGATCAAGCTCATCCTTGTTGACTTGTTTACAGTGCTCTCGGAATTCGATTGCCGATTATACATGTATGTCAAAAACTGTACTGCATGGTTCACCGTAAAACTCCTTACAGCAACATGTATCACTCCTAAAATGGGCCTGGACAACACACTCCCTTGTGTCCTCATCTGTCAGTTCAATATTAACTGGCCATGGATCCACGTCTTCATCATTGTCGAAATCAGATTCAATGTTTTCGTCAGAACTATTTTCGTTTTCGATCACATTGGTACTTTCATTAAAATACAATTCATCTAAAACGTTTAATTCTTCTATGGAACTAAGATCTTGGTTATCTAAAATTCCCTGTGGAATAGAAAAGGTATTTCTTGTCTCCTGACGCATGCTTCCTCGTCTTTTCGCTTTAGATTGACGGCCATATTAGATCACCAATGAAAACAAAAAGAAGGGAAGTAAATCGAAAACTTCCGTTTCATTATTTTTGCGCTTAATTTGAAAATAAAAAAAAACATGTTAGCAGCTTTTGAAACAGACGACATTATTAATAATTATAAAAATTTAAAAAAGAAATTATGATATTAAAAATAATAATAATAAACAGAACTAAGCAAACACATGTCTAACGTTTTAGCGCGCCATGTTTGTATCGGTCATACGGTTGCCATACGGTTCTTGTCATGATCGTGAAATAAAGGAAAAATCTGTCGTCAATTCAGTGTATGAATAATAGACTAACAATTTGCATAAAAAAAAAACGTCAGTCACCATTTGACTAAATGATAAATTGTATGTGCTGACAAGGTTATTGTATCGACCATATAACGTACAAAATGATAACTTTGAACGAGACAGCTGATATTCTTGTTTCATCAATTTGCTTGTCAAATACCTCATTTTAGAAATTGTTCATTTGTAGAGCAGGCTCTTGCGTATCGGAACAACTGAGATATATACAATCCATAAGCAGTTTATAATGAAGGTATACTGCTGCACAAGTAAGGGAAGTTGACGACAGAAAAGTTAAAGTCATTACGATTATCATATAGCTTGGTTCTTAGATATACAGGTAAAGTTCTTGTTATATTTAGATACAAAGAATGGAAATCAGATGATATTTCATATTAAACAGTGCAAAATTGGAGCATTTCTACTAGGGTAGGGTTGTGTAATTTCGACCATCTGGTTAATTTCGACCGTTCATAAATACCTTTATATATTTTGTTTATGGCGTATAATTGTGCATGACATTTATATTATGCAGAAAAAAAAACGTATTTTTGATATATTGTGTCCAAAATAATTTCATTTCCATGAGCGTTATTAAGCTCGTTATTAAGAAATAACATCAAAGAATAGGATTTATCACACGAAAAATTACAGACGAGTATACCGGGTATCTTTTGCCACTACGGAGAACTATTGCCTCAGAAAAATCTTGTATGGAAAGACAATCAATGGATATTCCTGACGTGACATTTATCAAATATTATTTTATAAATGAAATTTATACCTTTTTAATTTATAGTAATTAGTTTCTTACAAATTAAATTGCAAATCAGCTGAACAGAAATCGGTCGAAGTTATCCCTACATGAATACGGCGTCAGTGGGTAACTTCGACCAATGTAAAATGACGCAATTTACTACTATATCTGTCACCAGAAAGAATTCATGACTGTCCGAAAAAAATATTAGGATAAGAATTATGCACATTAATACCTGGTAGAAACTGATACTACAATAGTGAAAAATCATTTGTTTTATTTAAATGCGGTTTAGATGCCTGCACATGTACATGTGTAGCATGCCTTAACCAATTGGCATATCAGCGTCATAGACATACCTGGTGCACTCGATGTCTTCGAATTAAGCAAATTTTGAATATTGTCATTTTTTTGGTCAATATTTTTACTCAATCTTTTATGCTGTACAGCAGAAAAATTTAAATTCAATTTTTTTAGTATATTAAAGCTGACGCAAATTGTCTCCTTTGTATTGGCTCATCGGTCGAAAATACCCCGTGTGCGGTCGAAATTACCCAGCACACATATCTTGTAAATCGAACGCAATAATTTCATATTATGACATAAAAATACATGCAAAATCGATGTAATCTGAGAGATAAAAGGTATTCTGAAGGTAAAAGGATCCAGTAAAAGTTGCAGCATAACATAACAGTGACATACTTTAACAACTCTTAAGTGCAAAAAAATAGTCGGTCGAAATTACACCACCCTACCCTACGTTACCTTTTTCCAACGGGAGATAATTATGAATTAGTGAAAATGAAGTACCACACCCTCTTCCAATTAAAGATAGTTATAAATTAGTAAACAATTAATGGCATTTAAAAAAAAATCTTCTCAAGAACCACAGGGCCAGAGAATATGAGACTCGTGTTTAATCATTCTCAGGTAGCGTAAATTCAAGTTTCTCCAAATCATGACCCGAGGGGGTTGGGCGGGTTCACAATGGCCGACCAAAGTTTTACATGGAAATATATATGATTTTTTTTTAAAATCTTCTTTTCAAGAATAGCAAAGCCATGGTTAGTCATATTTATATGGAAGCATTTTCAGGTAGTGTAGATTCAAGTTTGGTAAAATCATGACCCTTTGGGCTAAGGCGGAGCCACAATGGCTGACCAAAATTTTACATAGAAATATATAGGAAATTTCTATAAGATAATCTTCTTTTCAAGATTAATAAAGCCCTGATTTATCATATTTATATGAAAGCAATTTCAGGTAGTGGAAATTCAATTTTATTCAAATCATGACTCCCGGGCTTGGGCAGGTCCACAAAAGCTTACCAAAGTTTTTCATAGAAATATATAAAAAGGAAAATTATTAAAAAAATCTTTTTCTCAAGAATAACAAAGCCATAATTGATCATATTTATATTGAGGCATCCTCAGGTCGTGTAGATTCATGTTCAAAACATGACACCCGGGGGTTTGGCGCGTCGACAAGGGCTAACCAAAGTTTTACATTGAAATATATAATAAAATTCTTTTGGAATCTTTTCAAGAATAGCAAAGCCTTGATTGATCATATTTATATGGAAGCATCTTCAGTTATTGAAGATTCAAAATTGTTTAAACCATGACACCCGGGTGTTGGGCAGGGCCACACTGGCTGACCAGAGTTTAACATAGACATATATAGAAAAATTCTTCAAAAATCTTCTGAAGAATAGCAAAGCCATGATTGGTCATTTATCTTTTATATGGAAACATTCTCAGGAAGTGTAGATTCAAGTTTGTGCAAATCATACCCTCTCCCCTTTAAGGAATGGTTTGGAGTACTTTTTGGTTTAAACTTTTCAACAATAAACACATTTTTGTTTTCATGCCAGCCACAGTGCCCAGGTGAGCGGTGTGGCCTATAGGCCTATTGTAAAAGTTTTGATGCATTATCTTTTAGTTTGTGTATTGTGTTGAAAATAAAAGAAGGACGTGAACCATTTTCAAAGCATTACCCAGATTAAATAATTGCATCAAAAATTTGAAAAAAACAAATAATGAATCCGTAATGATATATGTAAGGAAGGAAATTGACAATGTATTAATAGAAATGCTCCAATATTGCACTGTTACTGAATTTTGAGCTTTATGATAACATTTTGAATTAAATATGCAATGATGAACGGCAACGTAACTGTACAGAAAACAGCTTAGGGTATTATTACTATTTTATATGCGTGAGAGGACTTTCAAGAAAGAAAAGACTGTAAAATGATGTTTTTATTGTAGTAAATTATTGACCCATTGTCTTTTTCAATGAGAAAAAAAATACCTTTGTGAAATACGACACGGTATATTGTTCTTCTCTTTCCTTTCTTCATAACATAAGGCTAGATTAGCTCATTATTTTGTGGACAAAATGTAAAGGGGTTAATCCCTCATAATCCTTGATAAACCACCTTGATAAGGAGAGTTTTAAGATTGATTTATTGATTGTATATTAACGTCCCTCACGAGAATTCTTCACTCAAATGGAGACACACCATGTAAAGATTTCAAATCTGAAATGTATGGACATTTTCTTTGCCAAATTATTATTGATCTCTTCAGATATCATATTCTTCTTCTTATTTTTTAAGAAAAAAAGGAAATGTATGGTGGTTTATTTGTTGACCCTCCCCAGCCTCCTTAAAATAATTCAAAGAATATATAATGACACACAAAGTTGGATGTATTGGTAGTAAGTAACTATATCATTCAATCATAATGTGTATGTGCATATCATCAAGAAATGTAGAATAATTGATTGATAGTTTGTTGTTAAACATACAATTTCTTCACTCATATAGAGACTCCACCACTAGAGCTACAAACTTTTCCTTTGTTCGGCACTCGGGACCATTGAGTAGTGAGTGATCCTCTTCGTAGATTAAAATTTTCATTTACAGAAGGTATATATATTTTTAGTTTTATTTCATGTATCCACTGCATGACAATAAGGGTTTTTTTGGAAATAAATATCGAATTCGTAATACCGTTCACGGTAGCTCAGTCGGTAGAGCGCTCGCTCCGTGATCGGGAGGTCGTGAGTTCGCATCTCGGCCGCGACCGACCTAGTCGTTAAAATGGGCAGCAACTGTTCCTTCGCCATGCGCTCGGCACTTTGAAGTGAAAGTTGCGGGTCCTTCGGATGAGACCTTAAAAACCGAGGCCCCGTGTCAGCGGCAGGCGTTGGCACGATAAAGATCCCTCACTGCTCAATGGCCCTGAGTGCAGAGTAAATGTCGAAATTTGAAGCCCTTCACCGGCATACGGTGACGTCTCCATATGAGTGAAAAATTCTCGAAAGGGACGTTAAACAATATTCAATCATTCAATCAATCGAATTCGTAATAGAACTCAATTTTTGAAATGAATTGTTGGGATATTTTCTGAATATTTAATTGTTTATGAATTTCAAGTTGAACCAACCATGAAAATGTGCGTATTACAGGTTTGATTGGTCGACACGTGATGCTTACTTCTCGATGGCATCTAATTCCACCAGTGGTGTAATTTTAAGACGTGTTTTTTCTTTCGATTTTTTTTCTAGTGGGTATTTCTGCTTTTTTCCCACGTTCCTTTGATCCATTCAATGAAATAAAGATAAAAACCGAGCGATGAAAATTTACAAAAATGTTTAAACAACTGCAGTTTTTTGGAAATGCTTACTAACGTGTACACAGATTGGCTTAATAGCACTGTTTTTTCTTCAATTTTTTTATAAACTTATAAAGAAATTAATTTCTTAAATTAATGTTTGACATTTCCATTGTCTTGCAAACAATGAGTATTGTCAAATCCTACATTGATTCAGTCACCCATGTTCAAACCATACTTCTGAATGAAGTGTTTTATTATAATCTTAAGATAAAATACCATAGATAATTTCCGGTCATAATCTTAATAGATATGGTATGGTAGCAGTACTCAATTAAATTTCTTACAATTGTATACTAGTTCTATATGATGTTAAATCTTTATTGTACGTAATATGTAATTTTAAATTTCATAATTATTTATTGATACTTATTCAAGTGAAATATGTGACAAAGATATATTCCCATCGGACGTGCTTAATCTAACGGAAGAACAATATATAAAAGAGGATATCATACTGGCTTTTATTTAAATTCTTAAACAAGGAAGGATATTATATAAGTATGTGCATGTATAAAGCATTAAAAACTACTTAAATTGTCAATATCATTCTTATGTCATGTACAAATATGAAAATAAAACCGTGTACAGTTTTGTTCCTTTACTTTATGTTCTGTGCTTTGACAATCATTGCAAGCACAACATGTGATGGGTAAAAATACTTTCATAGCTATATATTTCCTTATGAGTCCATGCTAGAATTTTGAGAAGATTTGGTTCATTTTTTTTATTTGATGCTGTATTTTTTTCTGTAGAAAAAGCGGGGTAACATGCTGTTTTGGATACAAATGGAGCAACGAACGCCAAAATTGCATCAGTAAGTTTTATCAATATGCAATGAAATTGTTTCATGTAATTTCGAGGATGGTACAAGACGATATCAATGTATCTATTATAATATAAATAATATATTAATAATATTAATTCGGACTCAATTATACAATCCTTCATAGAATGTAGTCCTGGATACTTCGGAAACAATTGTTCCCAGACTTGTCCACATCCAACTTACGGTGATAAGTGTAAGAACATCTGCAATTGTGACACAGATTCATGCCAACATGACGTTGGATGCATCAGTAAAATGGGTAAGATCTTTTTGGTGGTATTTTTAGGCTTTGCATATATATAATCACAGATTTTTCTCTTTTCAATCATCCATAAAAAACCATGAGATTTACTAAAGATGCATTTTTTTAACTTTTCAAAAGTATTTTAAGAGACAGTTATGCTTATTTGTAACTTCCAAAAATACATGTATATTATGTCTTAGATGGGTAAACAATGTAAAGCAAAATTAGATGAAGAAAATTGTTAAGCATATGACAAAACAAATTAAAATCAATTATTTAATTATAATTTCTAAAATTAATTAAAACTCCGTTTTATAACATAACCAGAATATCAAAAATCTTAAATACCTTTTAGTCCCTTCTAGTAGTTATTAAAATATATTTAGAAGTTAACAACGAATGGATGTGAGACATGAAAAAACAATTAGAAAAATCGACATATTTCCTTACCTTCCTGATGCATTTGTGTTTTCTAGAACGTAAAAAAAGTTTTTCAGGTTACAAAGTATTTTAGTGATACTGCATATATCTAAGAGACACCGAAAACAATAAGCCAAAGAGGAGACATAGTCTATCCTGCATTCTACTTTGATAGTCTTTTTTATAGGCTTGCTCCACTTATTGAGAAGCCCCAACAAACTTGTGTTTTTCATGAGTTGAGATGAAACATTAATAGAAAACTAAACATTCGTCACCTGTTACATTTTACTGGTTGACAAAATATTGATCCGGGGATAACAAAGTCAATAAATATTTGTTATTTGCCCGAAAATCGTCGCTGCAGTTGTGCAAACTGAACAATGTGTGTGTTATATTTAAAGTGTTTTTCACCGCGATATTTTTTAAAATAATTATTTTTACATATATGCAAAACCCATTTTTTATCAAATTTGGTAAGTAACAATTAATAATTAATAATCATTCCAATTGTTGTTACACTTAGACTTTTGATTTTTAGCGTGAATTTTATTTATTTTTAAATTATGACGTATCCTTTATGGACCATTTAAGATTTGTGACGTCAAATCAAAATCCACAATTAAACCCGTTGATCCTGTCGTCCATGATATTGTGTACTAAGAGTTTTCTACACATTCTGTAATAAAAAAAACATTCAAAACAAGGGTTAAAAATAGTGACCTCTCTTGCCTCGACATAAAATTACTCTTCTTTTTCCCATGTACCAAATATTGTTTACATAAGAACAGATGAAACACAAATATCTGATGAATTCAAAAGCGGATCCCAGGCCGGGCATGTCCCCCCCCCCCCCCTCCCTGAATATTTTTGTATATAAAACTTATATGCCCATTATTTCAAAATCAAGGAAAAACATCTTATTTGAAATAATTTGTCAGCTTTCGGGGGCTTTGTCCCTGGACCCCTAATAGGGCCTTGCCCTAGACCCACTGGAGACTTCAGTGCGCTCCCATCCCGTTACAGAATTCCTGATCCGTCAATGCAATTCCCAAATTTATCAAGGTCCTGGGTTCTTACGACCATCAAATATTATGTTGGATACATAGTTGGATACATGTGTGGACATTTTTCTTAACCCGCTCTTATACAATTTTATTAAATCTTATATAGTTCTATTTATTTATACAAAAATATCAAGTTAAATCGTTTTCTTTTTAGAGAAAACATCTACGAAACAGGCGACGTCTTATCAGAAAACGAAATCAACCAATAGCACCGACAACTTTATTTTTACTTCGCTCCGATTTTCTACAAGTGTTGGAATTACATTTAAGGGTGAAACTCACCTAACTGATATTTCCACACATTCCCATGATAGATTTGAAAATAGAAATCAAACGTTTTTCTGGGAAGATCCAAACAGTGGAAAGAGCAATACAACAATCCTCATGGTTACACAAGTGACTGTTGTAGTAATACTGTTCCTATTTGTATGTTTAATTATTGTGTATGTAGTGAAAAAGTCTAGAAATGCTTGCAAGTTTCTAAAAAATAAAAACCAGAAAAAGGTAGCTGATAAAACTGACCATTACCTTTCCTTAGAAGATGTAGAACCATTGCTCTCTTATGACATCATTAACGGTTCACTCTTCAATGGTCTTGCGGAAGTGAAAATAAACTTTGACATGGAACGAAAACAGTACGTACTCGGACTAAGAACACAAATTGATGAGAAAGAGCGACAAAGAACAACTTCAATGAACAAGCAAACTATGAACACGGTTGAAGTGCTAAAAGCGACAACTGAAGATGATGCTTCTTCTTCTAAAGAGTTCACAAGCTATGACGAACCTACTGGAAAGGTCGACGTAAGAAAGAATTTCGGGAGACATGAATCCACTGCCTCATATCTGCTGGTCGTTCCTGATAACTATTCTGGCGACTGTACATCTCGTCCACCTGAGATAAACTGCATCGATAAACAAAATTGATATCAATGTGCCAACAATATTTTAAAGTTTGAATCTGAATAATCTTCAAAATAGTTGAATTTTGATATGAAAATGAAAATCTCTGGATGTTCCATATGCATTATGATGTTTGATTAATTTCAAGCCCCCACCCCCATCCCCCCCCCAACCCCCCGAAAAAAAAACAAACAAACAAACATTTCTGATACAGGCTCGTTTACTTATATATGAATCATATGGCAACTTCTTAATTAACAAGGAAATGTAAAACATTGTTAATTTCCTTATATATATGTTAAACAATTTGTGACTGTTCCCGAAAAATAGGCAGGCGGATAAACTTTTATAACAGGAAAATGGTATAAGCGTGTATTTTCGAAGAATTTCTACAAAAATAGTTCATAAGTCGTTGCTACAGTGTTGAACGAGATTTATGATTTAAAAAAAAGTTTTCATCCAGAAATTAAAGTAAGATATTGATTGGATACCTAAGTAGTTTATACTATATGCATTACTGTTGTTTCCATAAACAAGAGACCCATGGGCTACGTCAATCACCTCACTGTGGCTAACAAAAAGCAAAAATCAATCTAGCAGGTAGGGCATGTAAAAGGCATTTTGGGGACGGGTTTTGAATAAACTTGATTCTACTATAGCAAAGGATTCTTACATATTTTTTGGACTTGCTATGGCTTTTTCCCAATCAGTTTGAACTTTCATTTTGGTCCCACCCTATCCCAAAAGTTTATGATTTGAACAAGCTTGAATTTATACTACCTGAGGATGATTCCTTATAAATATTACCGATCGTGGGTATATTCCTTTGTAAAACTTTGATTGTCCATTGTCGCCCCATCCGTCTCCAGCGGTCATGATATGAACAACTTGAATCTACACTACCTGAGGGTGTTTCCATATAAATATGATTAATCGTGGCTTTGTTGTTCTTGAGAAATAATAATAAAAAAAAATACACTACCCGAAGACGCTTCCACATTATTTTATCTTTCCCAACTCAATTGTTCTTGAGAAAAAGATTTTTAGAAAATGCCACAAAATTTTCACTATTTCTTTATTATATATCTCCATTTGAATGAGGATGTAGGCCTTCATTTGAACAAATTTGAATCCCCTTCACACAGGGGTGCTTTGTGGCAAATTTGGTGGTTCTGGAGAAGAAGTCGAGAATATGAAAAAGTTTACAAACGGACGGACAGCTAGAAAGACAGACAGATAGATGGACAGTAAGTCGGACTACAGACAAATTGTAATCAAAATAGCTCACTTGAGCTTTCAGCTCAGGTGAGCTTATAAAACAAGATTTCCATGATGGATACACCTGTAAATATTATTCAATGATTTTTCTTTAAAAAAATAATTAAAACACAAAATAATGAATATGAATGTACAGCAAAATTATTTTGTAATTTTATTCATAGTAAATAAAATGTAATTTAAACGTTCTTGATGGCTTCCATTCTATTATTTGCATGAAAGTTCATACACAATAACAGCATTTCTGCTTATGCCATTGGGTTAATGAGCTGGGCTGATTTCGGGTAAATCGTTTTTCATAAAGTTTTCCATTACATCACATGTTGTCGTTCATCGGTATAAATCATCGCCGCTTAAAACAAAGTCATGTGCATATTTCGTCGACGAAATTATTTTCCTATCTTCATTGCTCATTTAATCATCCACCGATTAGAGATGCTTAAGGATCATTATTTGTAGTTGATTTTTTTTTTATTAATCACATAGAAGTGTCTCACTAAAGATAAAAACTCATGATGTGTCACCGTTTATGTACGCTTAAAATAAAATATGATATACAAAAACTGTGTATAGATTGAACTTGTGTATAAATAAGTTTTTTTTTAAAGATTGTATGTAGAAAATCAACTGAAATGTATTTATCAAGGAACACATTTTTAAGCATTTAAGTAAATTATTGAAAAATCAAATTGTACCATTTTATTTGTCGAAACAAATAATCATGCATTGCCATTAATCGACATTTATTTATAAAACATTAGCACAGCTTACTTGGATATATTCACGAACTCATTGTGTTACCTATTTCTTTACATTTATTTCCATGTCCGTTTATGAGAAACAATCGCCAAGATTTTCTTTTAGACATCGGGTTGAAGCCACCTGACTTTCTAGAACTTTCAACAAATAGCGAGATCGGACATAAACGGAAAGGATTTGCACAGTTTGCTTTTTAATCAATGACCAAAGCTTTTTTTCTTTTATATCGTTTAAATCAAGTTTTGATTGAATAATTCATAAATGACGTTTTACGAATTGATTAATCGTTTGCTTGTTGTTACTTTTTTTAAGTGCCAATTACTTTGATTCGCCACCACTTTTCTCTCTTCAGTGCTATTTCGAGGGTGTTGTTCGAAAATGAAAGTATACTTTTAATTAAATTTACGATAATTTCTATGCAAGTGAAATCTGAATATAGTTTACAGACATCACCTTATACCTAGTGTATTCCTACAGGCTTTAGTAAGAACTCTTGTGCAGCCGTTTCAGAGCTTATTTGCCAAATTTGTTAATTTATAAGTATAGATTTGTTTGTAAATTATTTTATTCTTATTATAAAGAATTAAAAAGATATTTTTTTAATATAATTTCAAACAGTTTAATAAGTTTTGCCATATTTTTTTTTTACAATCAATGTGTTTTTTACCTTTTTTTTTGTCTTCGTGGTAAGATTCCTCATTGTTCATTGACACTGACCACCGAGTATAGGACAACATTTTTAGCTCTCTATCGTCAAGTTGTGGGGTCTCTATATGAGGAGTTAAAAGCAACATATTGATGGACTTACAGACGAGCTTTCGGATGAGATCGTACAAACGAAAGTCCCATGTCGCATTAACAGTTGACAGGGATAAGATTCCTGTCTGCTTAATCTTTCTGAATGAGATTATATGTTTATTTTTGCAACCTCCCACCTCCAAGGGGTAGAAACTCCTTATGAGTGGAATATCTGATGTTTACAATTTCATTTTGCTTAACCCCTTCACTTCCGTACCGGTCAAATTGACCGGTGGCGCGTTAAAACACGACTTCGCGAAAATAAGATCTCCGTATCTATTTTATGGTAGCACGAAGGTATATAAACTATATATCGTCTTTTTGGAAATTTTCTCTACTTTTAAAATATCTAAAAAGATTATGTCTTGATTGCCGATATTTAATCGATTTTACGTTGTGAAGACAAACGTGACTTTTTGAAAATGGCGTAATTTTCCAAAGCAATTGCCGATTTTCCAGACGATTGACATTTTTTTCCTGTTTAACTTTATAAGAAAAGTATGGTATATTCTTAAAGCATATTTTCTCTGTTTTTAAAATATGTAAAAATTATTGTTGTTACTTTAAAGTATATTTTAAAAACAAGAATTTTCTTGCACTTATGTGTTTTTTCTCGATTTTATTCGTAATGTTTAAACAAAACTCAGTTTTAAGTTTATTTCTGTGTTGAAATAGGGAAAACAAAATAAAGCTGGTAAAAGTAGAGAAAATTTCCTTTCCAACAAGCCCTTACAGGCCTTCTTACACTCAGTATTTTCTTAATTACGATAATTTGAATTTGTGACCTTCGCATAGTTTTTATGGAAAAATCGGTCAATATTTACATGTAACGTCAAGGTCGATATTGTTGCGTCCTACTCGAAAAAACAAATTCTTTTATAAGACTTTTTTGACCATTTAAATATATTTTTTACTTAAATAAATTCATAATACAAAAAATAGATTTCAAAAAACAAATATATACTATCGTTCTGCCTTTTGTGAATAAGAAATGTTAATTTATTCATCTACATGTAATGATGTATATATTTCATGTAGTGATATAACGTTTCAATGTTGATAAAATTGTAGATTCCCTAATCGTCGATCTTTACTAAAAAAAAATCAGATTTTTAATATTGTTGTATCTTATTATACTGTATACTTAATTTGCAATTTAGTTAGATCTATATTGGCACGAAAGTTCACGATACAAAAACTCGCATTTATAAATAAATACGACTCATCACTGTTTGAGTTGATACGAATACGCCAGTTTCGAGATTGTAACTCTCCTATGATAGAGGCGCGAAAAGTATCCATTTCAGCATGGAGGTGGGACAGGTTGTTTTTGTATACAGGCGTGCATCAATAAATGAACGATATTTATGGCTTTTAAAATTTACTGAATGTTATAGAAAGATAATAATGTTAAGCAGTGATGCATTTGATGATTTTATCAAGCTCAACTATGCATATTTACAAATCTACTTTCAATTATAGGGTACTTGAAAACGAAAGAAACGTCGTATTCTTTATAAAAAGTAACTGATTTTCTTGATTGTTCAAACATTTTCTTAAAAACTTAGTGGGTTATTTGAAGTTATAATAAGGAAAAGGATCAATGTGTCATATGGATTGCCGACATGTAATGATAAGATTGCATTTGTACCGTATTTACTAGAGGTCCATATCTGTTCCCTCGTCTGAAAAGTCTCACATCCACTGACATTTTCTTTTTTGTTACGATTTCTTTGCTTTAAAAAATTACGCCTTTAAACTAATTTGGTTATTCCCGAGTTGTAAAGTACATCCTTACAATCATGTGGTTATCATAAACCAGTATATCCATGATGCAATGTATCCGATATAAATTACTGTCCCACCTGTTTGTTTACGCGGCAACGAAACTCGCCTCCTCAACGAAAGAGCGCACCATGGGAGATAATCTCGAAACTTGCGTATTGAAATAACCACGTGTTTCCGCTGTGGTGTAAACATGATGGTGATCCGAAATCTGAACGTCAATTTTCATGATTATTTCACGACGAAGATCATCACATCAATGAATCAAAAAATACGGACATGCCTTTGGTATTAGCAGGTGAGAATACGTGTACATTGACTGAATAGTTTCAGTTTAAAACGCATTAGTTCACGTTCAAAAGAAAATACTAGATCTTCCTTCATGTTTCAGTGTGCGTATATCGTATTGTTCAACCAATTTTGTGTTGCTTTTGAACTTTGATGTTTTTGACAATCACGCGTAAGTTCAAAGTAAAATCAAAGTTGCCATAATAATGGATAGTTGTTTTCAGTATGTGTGTACCAGTGTGTACATGTACGACTTTCACATTGAATTTTTAGGGTGCAGGCACCATATGCAACAATATACTTTCATCTGTGAATACCCACTTGCTAAGCCCACCATGAACTACGAAGGCCAGTTAATATGTAAGGACACCAATGAACAGGTAAATTTTTGTTTTGGTGTTGAAAATTTCTGTATATTCTAAAATTTCAAAAAATAAAGTCAAATTTCATTTGTGTCATTCTCATGATATTGCATTCATACAAGTTTATAAACATTTGATTTATATTTTGAAAAATAAGTGTTTGAAACACATAATACAGTGTACTCATGATGCTTGATTATTCATACAAACACATTATTTAAACATGTAATATCTATTTGAATGAATGCCGAGATATGGAACAAGCTGTTTTTATTGACTGCTGTTACTGCATAAAGTATGTGGTTAGAATTTCCATTTTCTCAATTTTTTAGACTCTTTCCAATTATCGTACATCATAATTATACATGGGTGGTCAAACTCATTGGATGGTTTATCAACAATCCCATTCTCACGAACAGCCTTGCCCCAGGAATTTTGCCCTGAAGTAACATTTGCAGTCAATTGTCTCCTTTCTTTTTACAACCTTGGCAGCCATGCAGGTATGCAATCTATGAAAGCCATATAGGGACAAAAATTTTTAAAAAATTATAAAAGTAAACCAAGTTCTTGATTTATGTAAACCAAGTTCTTGATTTATGCAATCCGGTCTCTCGGATTGACAATCTGTTATAACAGATTGCCAATTCATTCTCACAGATTATCAATTTGTTCCCTCAAATTACACAATACGCTATCTCAGATTGTATAATTCATTCTCCTAGTTTAAACGATTCGTTCCCTCAGAATGTAAACCCTTCCCATGATTTCACATGTTTCATTAAAATTATTTATCCGTACATATCAGATATGGTAATACATGTTTAAAGAATAGAATATTGTACATGTAGTATTTTACATCCTACCTTTTATTACATATAACGGTCCAAAATGAGAAAAATACATGAATATTTTCAAATCCATATCCTTATACTGATATTTGTACAACAAAAAATCTTTTGGGTTTTTGTGTTACATGTATATTAGAATAATTAAAAGTCCTAAATAGTAAAAGTGAATATGGGTCCTGTGTAATATATTTCTAAAATAAATATACGTTGAATTAGTTATGAAAGAGGTTGGTAACAACCGGTTGCTGAAACAAAATAAACAGAACGCACTAATTGATTAAAATGGTTGGATGTATCTGTACATATATGTAATGAAATTCAAGAGCACAGATTGCCAAAATCATAAGACTGACGTTGTAACAAATCGAGACCTCGAATTATTAATCTGTGAAAAAAAATTACCGGTATGTAATTCGAGATCTCAAATTATGAATTGAGGGGGCAAATTAGTAATCAGTAAGATTGGATTGTGTAATTTGAGATCTCGAATTATAAATCGAGGGAACGATTTCAAATTAGTAATCCATGGGATTGGATTGTCTAATTCGAGATCTCATTTTTTACTTTTTTGAAAAATTGACGTGTCCCTTCATGGCTTTCGTAGCATGATTAAAATTAGATCTTCCATCCACTGCCAGGTTTTTTTATATGTTGCAATAGCATAAACAGAGGTCTGGCTTTAGTTAGATTGCCAAATATGCTATTTGTTTTAGTTCAGTAATTTTACCATGATCGTTTACTACAAGGTTGTTGAATTATCAGTCCTGATACATTGACTTAGCAAGATCATTTAACTACTTGAATCACATAATACAATTTTAATTTTAAAAGGAAAATCAAATAAATATAGAAATTTTAGCATTCTTAATTTAATTTATAAATGTAATTTCATATACACAATGACATGTATCTGTTTCAAAATATTGAAATCTTTTACAGGATAGAAGGTGATCACTTGTACTTGACAGCAAATAATAATGTCTTGGACAAGTCAAAGAATTTCCGCCAGTCTTACAGAGAAATGACAGTTGATAAAAGAATGGTGGACACAAAGTAAAAGTGCTCTTCAACATTTTGATGAAGATTTCAGTCTGATTTGGAATTCATCTTGCAATATTTCTGGATTTGTATATTTGGATATAAGCGTCAATTTTTCAACTTATTGACTAAACAGTTTTTGGTAAAATATTGCCAATGCTATCTATTATTATTATTTCCCTCCAAGATAACGTCAAGTCTTTATTGTACCCCTTAAACTCTGTTATACCAGAAAAATCTTGTAATGAAATCATTTAGTTTTTTTTTCTTGTTAGATTAAATTCATGAAAATAAAGATTATTTCTAATGGCATCAAGAGAATGGATTTCTTGTTCAACAAAAAGATTGTGTACATGTTTTGCTAGGGGTTTGTAAGAAGCAGACCAGAATTCTTTGCTTGCAAATTTTATCTTTCGCCATTTTTATTACGTCAACTATTAGATGATTTATCCATGTTTGAAGCATTTCAAAATTGATATTTACTTACAGTTTAAAGCAGAATTCTGTACTGATATGACCTTGACCCCCTGAAGAACAAGAGTGTCAAGGTCAATTTTTAATACAAAAATGTTCTTTCATTTTTATGGCCCATATATATCTTACAAGCAATTTCATGAAATATACAAAAAGTGTCTAGAATGTGTCCAGAATGTGAAATAACAAACGTGTATATAGCCAAAAACTTTAAAATGATGTTGCTTAGCAACCACTTAAAGGTCATTAAACAGATATTTGAACTAAAATGATGCATGGATATTGCAGTTCTAATCCCTTCTTGAGAGTATATTCAGAATTTTCCATTTCAGCATCCATTGTGTAAAATTATGGCAAGAATATTGAAAAGTGTTGAAAAAAAATTGATGAATCTTTTGCACTTATTTGACTTTTGACCTCCTAAAAATAGTTCTAATAAGGTCAAACTTTAAGACAATTTATCTGTTGTATGTCCCTTGTAATTTTATGACCTCACATCTATCTTTCATATGTGCTGGGATGCATAAATGTGTCTAGGATGAGTAAAAAATGAAAATTTCTGCCCGAAAATTAAAGAATTTTGCGTTGCTTAGCAACCCATTTTAAGTAGTTATATGCAGAATTGAAAAAAAAGTTTATGTGTTTCATGTAGTACAGTATAATGCTCTTTTTTGGGTATATACCAAATTTCCTATTTCAACATACATCATACTTAATATTTAGCTTAAAGATTAAAAAGTATCAAAAAATTCCATAAAATTTTGCACTTAATTGACCTTTGACCTCAATTTTTACTAATAAGGTCAGTGGTTGAGTATCTAAATTGTCATAAAATATCATCTCTAAAAAATTTCCTACAAAATGGTATGCATTATGTCTAGCTCTCTCCTTGGATAAAAAAGTTAAAAATAATTTAATAATGCCATGTCAAAAGGCCTCCAAAATCACGTAAAATGCGCCGGAAGAGAAAGGGTTAAAATACTACAAACACTTTTTTTCAGCATACAGTACCAAACAAAAGGGAGGGCAACAAAAAACTTTCAATAAATATTTTCAATGTTACAAGTTATGTTTTGAAAAAAAATGCGGTGAAAGCCCCCCTCCCCCTCCCATCCCCCCTATTTATTTATTTTTTTTGGGGGGGGTGATCTATGTCAGACTGCAATATTTAATTCAAAAGAACGGAAACAGGTACGAATAATTGTAAAGTTACTTTATTAAAAGAATAAAATAGAATATAAATATGTGATGAAGCAGTCTTTTATTACATATTTTCAGATATGCTTTGCATGAAAAAAAAATAACAGAGATAAAAATACAAAAATTTCAGTTTCATAGTAGTTAATTCAAACCAGCTTTTTTGTTCTTAACGGTTTATTAATCTGACCAATCGTATCGTCTCCTGCGATCATCATCTTCATCATTCATATCTTCAGAACCAAATATTCTCTCATGGAAAGGCGAAGATTCTGATAGAAATAAAAAAAAGTTTTATATTACACTGAATATGAAAAAACACCTTGTAAATGCCTAAACTCTGTTCTGTTTCACTTTAATTGCATCGTAGAAATCCAGAGTAAACTTTGATAAATGTACCACAACGAAAAAATGTAACAATAAAAGTCCCTAGTAAGTACTAGTACATATAGGGCATGCTATCTATTCAATAAAAGATTTCCGAGCAGAGTATATAAAAAGAGTAGCATTCATGACTGTACACAATTATTTCAAATTCATTAAAAAAAATTAAACCTTACCTCAAACTTTTAACTAAATAGTATACTCGTATTTGAACATGTTCGTGAATAAAAAAAATTAATGACGGGGACACTCAACATAAAATCTTTGTTTGACAGCGTGATTGCACATGTAACGATACATTTCTGACATGCCTTAGTAGTGTGATTCAGAATTTATGCAAGCATATTGGACTGGATGAATCAGCGTTTTGGAACTAGGACTGTTTTGCCCTTATGGCTGAGATACATTGAAACTCTATCTCATCCTGTTCTTCAGAGGCTGCATCACCCTAAAATTTTATTCCAGTACGTATTCCAGTTTTATTAAATTGTTAATCAAGAGTGAATCTAGCTCCGTATTACTGTGTTAAAGAAGAACACTTTAAGTGCATCAAAAAAAATAGATCTAAATCAAAGGAAATAATACTTAATTTATACCCTATTATTTAAAAAAACTTTTTTGAAATAAGTCAAATGATATCACGTCTGACATAAGAGATGTAGCTCTCGTTTTGAAATAGATATCATTAACATATCGTATTTTCAAAGAAATGAATGTTACGTAATGCTTAGAGAGTTAGACAAGGCCAAGCTTCTTCCTTATATACAATTGTATTTCTAACATTATAAGCTCAGTGGCGTAGCATCGTTTTTGAAAGTGAGGGGGCCAGCCAGAGAAAAAAAAATTTTACTTACCTGAAAAAGTTGACAAGCAAAAAAAGAAAAAGGAAAAAGTTGCCCAAAGTCGAAAAACCTATCTCGGGGGAGGGGGGGGGGGTTTAAACTTTTTCTCATTGTCAACTACTTTCAGTACCAATTCTAATACTACATTTTCGGTACGTCACTAAAAGTCTTAAAGTGGGGGGGGGGGGAAACCAGGTTTTCAATTAACATTTCCTATAGTATAAGTAAGGTTGGGAAAAAAAGTGGGGGGGCAGGCTCCCCCTGCCCCCCCCCCCCTTGCTACGCCCCTGAAGCTAAATATTTATTGTGAACACAGCAAATGTTATATCAATTTCAGGACTTTAATTAGAATGATTGTTTGAATTCGGTATAATTTAAAGTGTAAGTAGTTTCCTGCTTAAAATGATAAGGACATTTTCTCGTTGTAATAAAATGGAATTTTGGAAAGTAATGACACATATTAATCATTTTTTCCGACAATATATTAAATTATTTCACAGCATGATCTATGTTACCTTCGTCATGCAACATCTTTACTTGCTTAACATTGAGGAAAAACAGGAGACCGATCCGACTCTTATGCTATTTTTTTGTGACAAAATTTCAATAAATTATTATTCGTTCTTTTATTTGTTTTACTTTTTAGAAATTCAAAAATTCACATCAATATTTTGATCTCGACCTGGTATCAAGTATTCGGATGGCATCGGTCTGGGCCCTTAACTGCTTAATTTAACTGCTTTCTTTCTGTCTGAGTGTTATAGACAATTGAATAAAACGAGAATATTTTTTATGAAATCTATACATGTGTTTTAAGGTTTCGTTATATTAAGAAATCGGTATTATTTTAAAATCCATACTTATTCCCTTCAATGTCATGATATTACAATATCATGTTCTTTTCAACTTTGACGTCTCCATATGAGTGAAAGATTCTCGGGAGGGACGTTAAACAATATACAATCAATAAATCAATCTTTTAAACTTTGTAATAGTGACTGCAGTAAAATACTGACTCAACATTCTAGGTTTATCATTTACCTATGTTAAAGATCTCGGACTTTCTTGCCGTTGGGTGTATTGATTGTAGTCGAAGATCACCGGGAACTTCCAATTCAAATGTTGACAACCCAGACATTAGTTGACCTCTCTTATTATCCATCTTTAATGGCGTTGTCCCGATGATTATCTTGATGGGGACATGGATATTTTTCTCAAACGAGTTAATCGGAACAACAACAAGCTGTAAAAAACAAATAAATGTTTCTTATCCTTAAGAAGTACATGCATTTTGTTTTGCTCTTAGTGTGGGTTTTATTATTAATAAAAGGCATGAGTACTTCTACATAGTAGTCGATGTCTATTATTGAACATCCTTCAAGATTTGATATGGGTGATTTTAGAGCAATAGATAAATTTCCTGTCCAGGATTCGGAACGTCCCGACTGTACTCTTCTGTGCTTCACTTTCTCAATTATTTCTACTGACGTAATGAATGATTTCTTGGAACGATAAGTAGATATCTGTAAGAAAAAATTATCATTTTTTCAATTATTAGTACTGCAATTGCAATGGGTTTAGTTTGGTTTAATAAGTAGGTACTTATCAATAAATTTATTTTTATTGCACAAACCCAATAAAATTTGACATAATTTTTGCAAATTTTTCCACTGAAATTTTGAATTTCCACATGAAAAGAAATTGTTTCTCCAGGGATATATCCAAGTTTGTCTGTCGTCAATTTGCAAGTTATTGGTCCTGACATACAGCATAAGCAGCATATGTATTTATCTTCCTCTTTTTCAGTCATACACTGAAATAACAAAACAGTTTAGTGGTAAATAGTTACATCACCAACAGAAAAAAACTTAATATCAATGATATTCAATTTATATAAATGTAAACAAGTAAAAGTTGTCTTAAATTAGTTTTTAATGCTTTTAAGATAATACAATAGAAATACTTTGATTGAGATTGATATGTCCAATTTTCAAGTGATTGTTTATTACTTTCCTAATAAAATAATTTCACATGCTTTTAGTGTACATTCTCTTTTTCATAATTTGAGAGACAGTAACTATTTGTCAATAAAACAAAACAATTAATAATGTCGGTCGGGGAATGGAGCACGGTAAAAAAATTATATACTTAGTAAAAGGTTAGTATTGGCTATTTATTTTTTTTCTTATGACTTTTCATATAAAACCGTAATGCTTTTTATCATTAAAAATCATTGCAAAGGACAACACAAAATAATATAAACCCACAGCTGCATTTGGAACTTCGTTCAAATCTAAGTCTGCAATAATAATCAACTGATGTTCAGCTTCATATTTCTTTTTCATAGACTTTTCAATTGTGCCTGACACAATATATCGCACGAAACCGTGATATCCTTGAAATGATGATGGCAAGTTTTGTGGAAGTGCAAAAGAAAATGGATACACGTATTTGCCTGGCGGAATATAGTTTTTATTTCCCACCCCTGCACCTACAAAGAAAAATAGGAATTATTTAGAATAGCATTTTGAATTGTATCTTCCTCAACTCAAAGGAAGAAGCTTTCGGAAATTAGCGAAAAACACTAAATTCCGAAGGGTGTTTGTGGGTGGGTTGGGGCGAGATGGAGTGGTTCCGGACAAATTTCTAAGCTGTTTGTAATGAAATAAAATGTGGAAAACAATATATAAATGAAACTTGCTTTGGTGAAATCGAATCTATTTATGCTTAAAAATATTTTAGATATTTTAATTTTGATAATTATGACGTTTAATTAACCTGTCCTCAATAAAAAAACGAAAAATAAAGTAAAGAAATTCCAGCAGCAACGATTTTTTTTTATTTAGATCATCAACCCATTACTTTTATTAGAAAAATAATGTAAATCTTTTTTTCTGTTTTGAGAAGATTCTTAAGAAAAGTAAATTTTTGTATACAGACATTCTTTGAAATTCGGCAAAAGATTTCTACGATATATGTACATACATGCATCTGTGCTTTTGAGTTATGATTATACATGTCTGATGGGCATAAAAAATCACGCTTTTGTTCAACTTGATTATTTTGTTAGTCTAAAATCATTTTTTTAAGCTGATTAATTATATCCCTAAGGTTTGCAACTGATGTTAAATGTAATATCTTTTGATGATTTAAGATATGTTTTCGTTTATGAAGAAATACCTTTTCCATATAATGGAACAGTTTGGTCCAGATAAAGTTCGGAGGCTGTATAATAAGAGGTATATGATCTTTCACCCAGTCGTCCAACTATCATCCATAGAACTTCAGCGAAACCTTTAAACGTCACTCGTATGTCTTGAAGAAAAACCATGTATTTTAAAATTACTTCTGGAGAGAAACTTCTGACATCGATTAACTTTAAAGTTGTAAATTGTTAAGTCTTTTTTTTATTCATTTGTCCAGTATTGAAGACGGAAGTTATTTTGCTACATAAATTTAAAAATCGTGTAATGTGTACAGAATTTAATAGGAATACGCAATGCTATTTGAAATATAGGATACATTGATTCATTAAATTATCTAATCTATGTTTTTGAAAGCTAAGAAAAAAAAATCATAATTGTACTTAAATCCCAATATAACAAAATACCTTCATATTGATTTTTCTTTTAAAAAATATTAATTTCCTTTTCATCATTAGGACTATAGAATAAACATTTTTTACTTAATCTCCTAGTTTCACATTTTATTTGTGCCTTTCTCATTGAATGAGATCCAACACATTCCACATCGAATAATAACAAGAAAAAATCAATAGTTAGCTTAAGACATCAAAGAGAATATCCTACATTAATTTGTTATATTTTAAAAATCATTTTGAACTTCTAAGCTTATGCAATTGAATGTATGGCATTACAATTCTACCTTTATTAAGAATAGCCGTTGCAAGACAAGAAAACTTCTGTAGCAGAATTATTCTATTGTAAAGCCTTTAATTGCAAAAAGTATTTAAAAAAAGAAATTTAAAGATACATAACGGATATTTACCTTTTACTATCATTTCTTTGGATGATTCCATAACAAGACTTCCATTTATTATTTGCCCTGATCGGTATTCAGCTTTTGGATTTTCTAGTTGTATATACAGACTTTTGAGTTTTCCCATTGTAGTAACGAAAGAACGAATTACACAAATATATATCTAATTTTTTTTGTTTCTGGTTACTAGAGAAACCATCGATGTTTTTTTTCATCGCCCTCTATTACTTAAAAACGCATTAACAATATTCCCAAAGGGTGCTCAAAATATATTATCAAGAATCCAAAAAGATTTGCATATTTCCACTGGCATGTATAAATTTTCCAATGTATGTAATGCAATTCAAAAGGTAACGTTGAATTGAAATGACAAAAATTTGGTTTGTATCATTTAAAACAAACTAATTTTGTGCAGGTTTAAACAGTCGCCGCTGCAAATGAAGACAAAGCATAAGATTTCTTCTTTCTCAATTGATCTTAAGAATAAGTTTTAAAAGAAAATATCAAATATCGTTGACTTTAAAATTCAATAACATGTTTCCTCAAAGGTTATTCTTTTTACGGGGCACTGCCAGTGACTCTTATATAATCCACAATCCGTTCATATGTCTTTTTGGTAAACAAAAGAATCGAATAACAAAGCTATCGAATGTTTGACATTGGCCATGGATTGTTATTGTTATTGAAATCGCCTCATAGTTCCTTGTGTTAATTAAGAGTTCTTGATGTCTATAGTCCAAATAAAGATCTTTCAATTGGTGTAATGTAATTGAAACAAATTGATGTTTTAGTGTATGATTAAAACTAAATTAGCATTGTATAATATAATTTAAACTAATTTTACATGTGTTTATTGAAAAAAAAAATACATTTCAATTTTTATATATTTGCAACAAATTGCAGTCAAGTCTCACTTCGAATTTTATAGTCTAAAGAATAATTCGTTTTTGATTTTGTTTTTACTTATACTGTAGCATTTCCATTATTTCATAAAATATGCAATAAACAATTTAGAGCTCATATGGATATTTGTTAAGCTCTAAAACAGCCAGTTTAGAATTATATGATGTATCATTTGTTATAATTAATTCCTACACTGTAAGTCGCTTAGAGATGTATGGACAATATTTTAAACTTGATAAGAAATCTGTGTCAATCAGTTAATCAATGTTACCTGGTTTTCTTGCACCCTAACCAATTTATGATTATTGAACAATATTTAACGGGCGTATCATTCCGTGGCGGGGAACTTTATTAATTTATCATAATGCTTTATTAATTGAAATAATGAATAAAATTTATAAATATAACTAATACCAAATATATGTTCTAGTAGAAAAGCAATTTAGACTAGATGTGTACATGTTAAATTTTAAATTATGAAATAACTAATTTAAAAAATAACCTAAAAAACTGAGAAAATGCGCAAGGCATATGATTCAGCTTTAGATAAAATTTGTAAGTTTCCTATAGTTCAATCACATATACAGGAGAAGGTTGACAAACATACAGTCTATTACTAACAATAAATAAATTGATGAGAGCTGATCTTCTTGTGCTTTATGCAACTATGAAAGTGAAATGTGGCCCTACACTTTCTCAGTACATGTATTTAGGTCATGCATAAGAGTTATAGCTATCTGAACTGAAAAAAAGACGCAGTTGAACATTTTGTTATGAAGAAAATTTTAAGTTTCACAGGTCAGCACCTATGTACCATGAAGGTCCACAAAAATTTACCAGTTTGTCAAAAGCGTAAAAATATATTTTAAAGACAAAATTAGACATTGAAAAACATGAAAGTCAGGGGCCAATATAGAGCAGCTTTTAAAGTCCTCAAACTCTAAGCACATTTATTCCACATTTGATGACCGTCATCTAGGTGTGTTTTCTTCATGATACAGAAATATCTAGAAAGGAGAATGTGTTTTATGTGAGAAACCTGCTATTTTTTCTTTGAATTATTTTTCGAATCGATTAAAGTGTTACTCATATATTACTAGAGAAAAAGCATTCTACCCCTCAGTCCACCCTGGCATGTCGGAATTCCCACATATACAAAAAGGATATGAAGATAACGAACAGAATTCAATATCAAAGTCCTTAAAAGAAAACAAAATAAGAGCGGAGCAAATATTGACCTCCGAAATCAGAATTGGGATCAGGTGCCATGGAGGAGTGAACATTCCCAGCTGACCGGACACACCCGCCTTCTACTCCTTATCACAATCGGGATATAATGGAAAATCTGTCGTCAATTCAGTGTATAAATAATGCACTAACAATCAGTATGAAAATCGTCAGTCAGCATTTGTCTCAATGATAAACTGTATTTGCTGACAAGGTTATTGTATCAACCATATAATTTTTGAAATGATGAGTTTAAAGTCCTTGTTGTCATGAATGATGCAGGATAACCTCCTCGGTCTCGAAATGTTATTTGCCTCGGCTTTTATCTTTCAAACAATATTTCTCGACCTCGGAGGTTATCCTATAATATTTACGAAAACGCGGAATTTATTCTTAATTATTACGTGTACGAAAAATTTGGAAGTCCGCGACTTTGAGGTCATTTACTGCACATTTTGACGTCAAGAGAAAAAAATGACGATTTGTCAAACCTATAGATCTTAATATGTATAATGGTTATAACCTGGCTACTGTGGAGGGCTTCGGTTAAACAATGATCCAGAACAGACATGCAAATGTGGAAAGCATAGACTAACGCGAATACAATTCTCCAATTTTTTTTATGTTTTTAATTGAACTACATGTACTAGGCTATTAAACTTCTGTTTAGCCTACCATATTTACCACGCAAAATAATATATTTATGCTAAAAACGATTTATGGTTGTGTTTATATCATTTACAGTAACTTTATTTATGATAGATTAATTCCTACAATGTAACGAATTCGAGTAGATAGCGCAACCACAAATAATTTTAATGAAAACACGGTTTTTTATTTTTTATTTTTTTTATTTTTTTTTTTTTTATAAATTTATAGTCCATATATGATACTTTATCTGCCTTTTTTCTTAAAACTGAATTTCTGTATCATTACAAAAGTTGGTGATGTCACAATGCTTTTAGAATGTGCAGATCCAATTTTTTATTTCAAATCATACCCCTTAACTCTCTTTTGGATAGGTCTGAACCACTTATGCATTTAAGCTTCTCAATACTGGATTTATTTTGTTTTTTTTTAATTTCTTGCCACAGTGTTCAGGTGAGTGATGTGGCATCTTGTTTCCATTCAATATACAGATTAGTAAATAAATTGACATCATGCATGAATTTATTATCTTTTCTAAAATCATTTTTTCTTTCAATTTGTTGACATGTTCTTTTTAGGATGAGATAAATTTGAGACATTAGCTGTGCATTTTGGTTGCTGATGTTTTTTTTTTACTTTTTTTAGAGAGCATTTGCTGATGGACATAAACTTTTTCAAAAGACTTCCAGTGCAACAGCTATCGATTTTTGGAGAAAGTTCAAAAAGAACATGGACGCCATGGTAAAGTTTATACTTACGTGTTCCAAATGTTTAATTTTATTCTGATTACCTGTCACTTTTGTCTGCCAGTCTATCCATCTCTCTGTCAACCTTACACAATAATTTTACTTCAGAAGCACCATGCCAAATTCAGCCAACTTGCCATGAAGCATATGCATAAAAGGGGGATAAATTACCATCTTTAAAGGGGAGATTATTAGGTAGAAATGAAAAATTACTAAATGGAAATTCAGAAAACATCAGCAAAATTCAGAAAACATAAATTTTTTATGCAACCTTCCTTACACAGTGTATATTCACGGGATAGAATAAGTTGGAGGGTTAAGGGTCATTTATGTATATTAGTTTCTAATGGAGAAACTTGAGAAACCCATTTTACACTAAGATTAGTATGACAAGAAGGTGTATCAATTTTTAAACCAAAAATTTTTAAAACAAAAGTATTTTGATTAGTTCAGGGTCAAATTTAAACAAAATTGCACATGTAGTGTGATACAGCTAAAGTTACAATTTAAGTAGCATTAATATATAATTATATTAAATGTCTTATCTGATACAGGAATAAAAAATACATTTTATTTTTTAGATGAATCAGTCTCCAGATCGATGGCAAGCACTGGAACAGAGAATTGTAAAACAGATTGAAGCCAAGAATAAAGAACATTGAAATAAAATACAGTGTATGTTGTGATTATTCCAGTTGTATGGTCATGACATTATTGTAATCAAGAGAAACACAGGATTTAAAATTAATACAAATAAAAAGAATAATTATTTATCTTAAGTGAGAATCTCAAGTGAAATGAAATCAATTTTTTTCAAAAAATGGACAAATGAATGTGTACAAAAAGTTTTGCATGAATATCGTGCGAATTCTAAATTATATGAAATTCATATGAAAACTCCGAATTTCATGTGAAGTTGTAGCATAAATTTCATGCGACTTGTTTTTTGTCTCCTTTTCATGCGAAGAATTCGCCTGGTATTCTTGCAAATTTCATATAAAGGTCATGCGAGCCACTTTTTGCCTGTGTATAATTTAACAATGGGTTTAAATTTATTTCCGAAACAAGTGCGTGTGCTCTCAGAATAGACCCGAGAAGATGCGATTGATAACACATAAGAAAACGCTTTTTAATTTTTTCAGTGTCGCACATTCGAACCGAAATAAGAATTCATTTCTTTATATTTACATTTGCAAATGTTTTCCTTTATATAAAACTACTAAAAGGAATGCGTATCTATAACTATAAATACAGGTACGGGGTCAAGAGGTCATAGGTGTGCGTATTGATAATCGTTTGACGTAATTTCTCAGTGACGTCATAAAGGATCGACACGCGTTCAGTAGATTATACATACCTACCGCTGAGTTTGAAAAATAATGCATTTCACACGCTAAAAGTCACAATAAGGCAAATATATAGTATGAATAAGTCACAAATGTAAATATAAGTAATAAGGTATCATTTTAGAACATCTATCGGGCTATAAAATAATACGTGTTGGTACGAGATTAAATTCATAATAAAGCTTTATGGAATTTAATCTCGTGACCAACACGTATTTATATCCCGATTGATATTTAAAAATGATACCTTATTTCTTAGATAACTTCAGCATGTTTTATGAATATTGTCACAAATCTACTAATTTCAACAAAATCTTTAGCTAAATGATGTACTGAATTTTCCTCTTTTCTTGTTGTGACGTCATTATCAGATATGCACAAGAAAGTCGCCCAAATCATGTAAATTGCGTACCCAGTTTTAATGACGTCAGCAAACCCGCGACCTACGTCAAGTCCATGATGGATATCAAAATTATCGTCTCATTATGCACAAGCTTAATCTGTCAATTAGATTTTTGATATTTTGTTTTTATTTTTAAAAATCGGTTTTCAAACCCTTACACGGTTATGAACGAACATCAGAGCAGTGACTGAGGGTACACATTCATGACACCTATTGTCTATTTTACTGACCGCTATACCTTGTTTTTTTTTTAGGCAGAGAGACCGTGTTCACTCTGGAGCTATTTGAAATAACATTTTTCTCTGTATGAGAACCGATTTTTTTCAATCAAGTTCAACTTCAATTTCATTTTATTCACCCAAACAAAGATTTGTACATGGTGTTCAAATAACATATACAAAATATATACAGACTGGTCAGAAGAACATAATTTCTAAATTACAAAAGAATGACAGATGAATAAAATAGGGAAGAGTTCGATAAAATAAGAGGGAAAATATATCAAAACAAAATAAACGTACCAAAGAAGCTATTGACGAATAAAGATTGTGCATAATGAGACGATTATTTTGATATCAATCATGGAAGTAAAATAATTAAAAGTAGTTTTAATATGCTTCCAAATTTTTTTGACACATTGTTAAACGGTTTATATGAAAAAAAAAGCCAAATAAATCAGATCCCTCTTAAAAATAGGTTCTGATTCTTCTTTAGATATATTCATAACAGTTAGATTTTGATGCCTTGACCACGAATTAACCATGGTATACACTGTTCCCTGTTCCAATTTCGACATTTTGAAATCATTAATTTTCCGTTCATTATATCGGAAACATTTAAAAACATTCAAATCAAATTTGGAAACGTCAAACGGAATACGCAGGTCAAGCTAAACTTTGGTCATGGTCCGATGATTTTTGAACCTAAAAACTTGAGAGATTTCCAGTTTCCCATCTCTCTGAATTTTACATAGACCTACTGTATGTGTATGGTTTAAATTGTATATGCAGAGATTTTCCAATATACAGGTCAAGTTCAAAGAATGAATCATTTGAACGTCCACATTTGGCCCCCCGATAATTTGCAAAAAATAGGTTTAAAGATTTTCTAAATATTTTTGTCTCAAACTTTTCATCAAACATTGTAGTTTATTAATTTCAGTTTCAATTTTCACTTACTTGCACTGTAATTGGGTATTTATCTGATTAATATAGCAGGGGAACGTTGTTTACATCGATTTACCATAGTCTTTAGGCCACACACCCATTTTGAAAGCCCATTTTTATAGGAGCGCATAGATGTTTCAAGTTGTAGTAAATAGGGTCAATGTAAAGAGTTAAACTTGTCATTTTAATTCATGAAAGAAATTGAAACAGTCGTGCCCTCACATGTTATTTTCCAAAAAGGTTGAAAATCAGGGGTACCTGTCCCTATAGTAAAGACACCTTGTTTACAAACTTTAACCCGCCTTTGACCTCATGAATAACAAAGCATAGAACACGTGACTCAAATCTATTCACTTTCATGCTTTGAATAGATCAATGCGACATTGTCCAGTGTTGCGAGCTATTGATGGTCAATTCGTTTCAAATTTTTAATTAAAATTTAAAGTACCCCGGAATAAATTTCTTTAAAACGGTATATTTAAGACTTGTTAACATTTTTGATTTACTTGTAATTTCAGTCAATTTTGTTTCATTTTTATGCGCCCGGATCGATAGATCCGGGGCGTATATTGTTTTTGTCCTGTCTGTCTGTCTGTCTGTTTGTCTGTTTGTCTGTTTGTCTTCAAACTTTAACCTTCGCCATAATTTTTGAACCATGAGAGATAGAGACTTCATATTTGGTATGCATACTCCACTAATGAAGCTCTTTCAAGTGGCACCAAGGTCAATGACCTTGTGACCTTGACTGCGACCTATATGCTAAAAATATTTCTTTCCTGCAAACTTTAACCTTCGCCGTAACTTTTAAACCATGAAAGATAGAGACTTCATATTTGGTGTGCATACTCCACTCATAAAGTTCTTTCAAATGACACCAAGGTCAATGACCTTGTGACCTTGATTGCGACCTATATGCTAAAAATAGCTTTTTTAGAACTTTCACCATAACTTTTGAATCATAGGAGATAGAGACTTCATATTTGGTTTGAATACTCCACTAATTAAGCTCTTTCAAGTGACACCAAGGTCAATGACCTTGTGACCTTGATTGCGACCTTTATGCTAAAAATAGCTTTTTTTTTAACTTTCACCATAACTTTTGAATCATAGGAGATAGAGACTTTATATTTGGTTTGAATACTCCACTAATTAAGCTCTTTCAAGTGACACCAAGGTCAATGACCTTGTGACCTTTATTGTGACCTATATGCTAAAAATAGCTTTTTTGAACTTTAACCATTACTTTTGAACCCTGAGAGATACAGACTTCATATTTGGTATACAAACTTCACTAATCAAGGTCTTTCAAATGAAACTAAGGTCAATGACCTTGAGACATTGACTGTGACCTATATGCTAATAATAGCGTTTTTCGAACTTTGCTGCCGCCGGGCGCATAGTGTTTCACAAACACATCTTGTTTTTTCGGTATTTATCAATATATTTTAGAAGCTTGTAGCAGAAAGCTTGCACTTACTATCTCATTAATACAGAATTTGAAAAAAAAAATACTGAGGGTATATATATTATAATATTGCCTTTCTTCCTAAGTATACATGTACACGTACATCACATCAGCGTTACGTTCATTGACTCTTGGAACATATAAAAAAAATTTTCGATCGTTATTTGAAAAAATACCAAATTATCATATCTTTAGAAAATTAACCGTTTGTTACAAATCCGTAATTCAAATTAAAGAAACCTTAGGAAAAAAAAATGAAGTGTGAAGAGAAATTGAAGTGTGAGGCATTAGAAAGATGTATATATTGGATGAAACACACTGCACAAAATGCACCCCTACATGTAATTTAATAGAGGGAAAGACCAGGTTTTATCTGACGACACTACAAATGTTATAACCTTTTACATCGGCACAAAATCTAACAACAATGAAAGATTTAAATATAAATATTAGTATGTAACAAAAAATCGAATGAAAAAGGGCGTTTTTTTAAATGGGTTATCGTTCATCTCACTAGAGGACGAGAATTTTTTAAACAATGCAGTCTGGACTGTACAAAGTACACTTGTCTAACACTGATATGGTGTTTTATATCCAGCAGCGATAATATTGACGTTAAACTGACTTTCTACTTTTCTTCTTAAACTTTCTTGCGAATTTTTTTTTCATACACAGAGTGGGGTTTTATATCACAATTCAACCGTATTTGTTGTAGCACTAAATTTTGCATAATCATATATGCACATGATATGAAATAATCATTTACTTGAATGTAATAAGCTAATTATTTATAAGCTTTAATGGATTGATTATTATCTCTATAAAAATAAAGTTTTAAGAATGAAAAAGAGTGAATCCTTCATTACGTAGTATACGATCTATTCACAAATGCCATTGTGTGCGTTTATATATATTAAATAATTTGACGAATTTCTAATGAATAATTTCAAATATAACTCGAAAGTTAAGCAGAAAAAAAGGAATTAAACCTGACAAATTAAAAAAAAAATGCTTATATTTGTTCGGTCTCTTGCATTTAAAAGGGGGCTTTTAGGTGTCACTTCATCATAAAACGTAATATACTTCGAACACACGCTAATGTATTTATACAATTCGCACGCTTGATAGACGCCCCGCCTTCTCATTCAAATGCTATAGTACTACAATGGTCTATAATATAGCCGTAATGGCAGAGTTTTACAGTGTAATATGCGACTTTATTTAACCGATATCATGTATATATTGAAAGTCTCTTTCCTAAAAAAAATCCTTTATTAGTATCTATACAGACAAAACTTGAAGACTTTAGCTATAAAATGTCAATGTTCTTATTTAAAAGGGGTAAAATTCGGCATTTAAAAAGGGGCGAGATTGCAGTGTTACGAGGATTCATTCTGTGGGCATGCTCCAATGATATTTGACAGTTTCATGTATCCGCATTGAACCTGGAAGACATTTTAAATTCACATTTTCAAATCATTTCTCCGGCTACAAAGAAATTAACATTTTCTATTTAAGTTATATATGCACATTCTGTGTAAGACACTTGAAATTTTGGCCGCCTTTAATCATAATAATTTGTATCAAACAATGGGAAAAATACAATTTTCAGTAAGAAACGTCAAAAAGTACCAAAAAAAAAATTATGGGATACTTCTTCGTGGAAGGATACATGTTTCATGAATCCATACATTTGTTATCTTTGATATATTGAAATATAGATCCACATACTTTTGCTTAAAGAATATTATCCGTTATTATTCGTTCATTTTTTGTTCAAGGGGAATGACTTGCATTTGATCTTTTAACAAAAATGCATATAGTTTGACCTGTGAGTTTGAGCATAGAGTAAATGAAATGAAATTTAGAATATTTCCGAGCATATCTTTTTCTTATCGAAGTTTTTTTTTTTCAGTGAATATTTTTAATGTTTTAAAGCTGATTTGAGTAATTTTCAATTGTGTATAATTTGTATGTATATAAAGAAAACGAGATACCAATTCAAATATTTCTTGTACATTTATTTACACCAAATGAATACATATTATAGTTATTGCGGCCTTGGGCAACATTTCACCTTCAGGTCAAACAAATTACATGTCCCCCGAATTTCATTTCTATGACTGTATTGTTACACCATTCGCTAAAAATTTAATACACACTGTACCACCAATTACTTTATATGATAAATTTTGGCTTACATAATAAAAGTAACACAAAAGCTGAAAAAGAATAATCAATTATAAAATTATTATATACAAAAAGTACTTATTACAAAACATACTCTTCAAGTATCTCTGTCTTGCAAATACAAGTAGAAACAAAAAATCTTGAAGCTCTTCTATTGTAACTTGGGTTAATAATTAATTATTTGTGACTTTTGACGTTCAACACTGAAATTGTTCGACAAATCTGATAAACATTTTTGTTGGACTATTCATAAGCATATGTTAATATCCACCTTTCAGTATTATGCCAAAATAAAGTACGTAAATGTAAAAGGCATTGAAATGAATTTAGCGTCGTCCTTATTTTCTAATAATAGGCCAAGAAAGTGATTTATGTTTCACTTGTCTCATCTGGTTCAAATTTACATGAAGGTTCCGTTCTGTTCATAAACAATTTCTTTTGTAAGTAATATGCTCCTCCCATTGCAAAAACCTGAACATTTTTTGGTACTATTATTGTGATAGATTTGCCTTTAAACCACTCTTTTTCAGCTTCATCCCAAATCATTTCCAGGTTTGAGTAGGTACCAGTCATAACTACACAATTGACATCCTTGAATGATCCTTCTTCTAAGGTAATCCATTTTTTTATCTCATCTTTCATTTCCTTAAAACATTTTCGTAAGAATTCATGCGTGATGATTAGTTTATTGTTTTTAAGATCAATATCTTTTGTTTCCTTGATTGGCTTTGGCAAGTTTTTCGGCAAGTCTAAGGTATAGGCTGCATTGTCTTTGCTATACTTACTTCTACTTTTGAGGAGTTTGTCAAACTCATACAAGATCTTAATATATTCCCTTCTGTGATCTTGTTTCCAGTCAACTACTGCAGGATTTCCATATAAAGAAATAAGTAAATCTGTAAATCTTTCTTGTGGTGTTTTCTTCCATTCCTGGCGTTTATCTTTTACGTTTTTTTCTGATCCACTATACTTTTTAACTTTTCGAAACATTAACTCGCTGCATGCTATATTAAAAAAAACAAAAAGAATAAAAAATCGTTATACATGTGTAATTAATGATGAAGTTTTACATTTTTTCCCCTCCAGTATATCAAATAATTATCAATATCTATTAACTCTCAAGAAAAATAGCGTATCGAATGTATGAAACGAAAGATATTCACATTTATAATAATGTTTAATACCAGTCAATGTCTTATTTTTTACTTTGTGACAATAAAAACCCTGAACAAAATTCCCCAGAATTTATCCAACATTCTTATCCATCTAATCATTGATTATTAATGACAATAAACTATGGATGCATATACGAGGCATCATAAATGGTCTATTACATACCGGGTACCTGTAAATAATACACTTTTTTCAATAATAAAATACATTTCTCTCTAAAAATAACTTGATACAACAATTAAATGCATTGAGTATTTACGACATGTCAACAAGTGCAGTGGAATCAGTGACTGCTTTATATCTTGTTGTATGAGATCTTATTGCCGACATAAATGAATGCAGTCATAACTCTTGACGTAAATTAATATTATAATTTAAGTTTGAAATCGCAACCAAATAGCAGGGGGTATACATGTACCAACGAAAAAGACAGGTGTTTGATTCACTATTAGTTTACTCTATTATTTATTTTCTGGTATTATAATGAATTGTTATTTTTGCATTAGGCCATGGTGAACATTTCACCTAAAAGGTAAGGCAAAGCCTCTTTTATGAAGCTTTAACAATGCTGCAATTGCCCTCATTTTAATGTGTATCATACAGTACCTTAAAATTCAAGTGGATGCATTAGGGTAAGCTAACTTAAAGTAATTTCTTAAATAAAAACAGATATGTGAACAGGGCATGTAATATTAACACTTTGAATTTTCAGAGATGGGATGTGATTCCATAAGTTACGAACTTAAACACAATGTAAAGGTGATATCGGGAATAAGACATTTTCGGTTGGGTGAGCTTTACTATATAGTAACTTCTAAATTTCAGAAAGGAGCGCACTATTTATATATAATAAAAAAAATGTTAAGATTCATTTAGTGTATGCCCTTACGACAGAACGATTTAATGAGTCACCTTGATGTAAAATATACCTAGCCTGAACATAAAAACACAGATGAAATTATTTAAATACATTCTCGAGATAGTTTATGAATAATCGCACTATACAAAGGATACATGTCGTATTCATAGCCTGTACATAATATTCTGTTTTATAATAAAACGCATTTTTCATTGTACGAAAAAATCCTCAATCTGTCTCTCACAGCACATTAAATACGTCAATTTTACCAAAACGACGTCATGATTGACAAGCTCATTAAGATCAGTGATTTGTTTATAAACAGTTGTATGTGATTTAATTAGCATTTTTTTAAAATGCATCGATAAGTTTAATTGTTGTTTATTTTGTTTATACAGATTAAAGTTGCAAATTATTTCATTTTCTGGTATTAGGAGGAATACCGGTACATAAAATTGATATTTTGTGTGACGTCACAGTAAAATTTTCCCGTACTTTTTTTCCCTTTTTCAGCCTTAAATATGCTGCGTAGCAATGTTAGTTTGAGGTTGCGCAGCACTGTTAAGGCCTACTATGAGAAATCAATGGAAAATAGACATGCTTAAAAGGGGAACCTTTTTAAAACTGAATTTATTTTAATCAAGCTGTTTTATTATCACAGAACACAAATACTTATGGAAATAGCATAGTATAACCCACTCTGTACTGTATGAAGTTTGGTCCCACCGATGGACAGTCACGTGATGAATGCATATTTCGTGTACTGAATGTAGGCCAGGAACAAATTTCAATATTGCAAGGGCATACCATAGTTAAAATTAAAAATTCAAGTTATTTATTGTTTCTGCATACTTTGTAGTTTCTGAAAGTGCTGCTGCTTTGAACAGAATTCGCGTTAAATAGTTAAATTTTCAGGTAAATAAGTCAATGTCGAAATATGTTTGACTTTTACTAAATAGTGTGTGTACTTATAAAATCACGCCTTCGATTTAAAGAAAGCAGGAGCATTTTTCAAGTTAAGAAAAATATAATTTATCTATATTCAAAAATTGGTTAAGATCTATTAAGTGTATGCCCTTGCGAAAGTACGATTTTATGAGGCATCTCGATGTGAAATGTACGTAACATGTACACGACATAATTAACAAGAAAACATTGATGTAGCCATGTAATTGTCGCCGGGAAATATATATAGTAAACAATGAAAATGAGTCGTGATCAACAAACCGCTTCAATATGTGTAAAGAAGGCATGCGTCTAATTGATGGAGACGATTGTCGCAAATATTTTTTAAAAACTTGTAGTCGGATAAAAATCAATTAAAAACGATACCATTTTAAACTTGATCAATTCCTGAAGTAAATGTTGGCTGCATAAAGTATAAATTGAAGTTAGACACATGCATCATATTTGTATTTAAAATTGTATAAAATTTCAATTTTAGAATATAAATCACGAACTGTGCAGAGTACGTTTAATCCGAGAAGTAAAATTCGATGTTCTAAAAAAGGGACCTGTCGTTGTTTCGATAGTTAATGATAAGTAACTTTATATATCAAATATGAAAAACTATACACTTTTTGAAGTAAATAAATTACATGTATGTATCTCGTAATTTGTAAACGGGAAGAACATTCTGATTAACAATCTTTTCAATATTTAGAAATTCTTTAATTCTGCATAACTACTCCCACGCCAATCCACATACACCAACACTTAAACTTATATGTATAGAGCAGCCCGGTCCTCCGGGCTGCAATAAAATACATTCTCTTGATAAGTAATCTATAATCACACTAAACAAAGGATATTCATTGGTATTAATCGACAATTTAAAACCTATAAATAATATTCAGTTTAATAATAAAACGCATTTTTCATTGCTAAAAAAGTCCTCAATCTGTCTCTCAAAGCACATGAAATACGTCATTTTTACCAAAATGACGTCATGTTTACAAGTTCATCGCGATCAGTGCTTTGTCTATAACCAGCTACATGGGATTTATCTAGCAAGATTTTTAAATGCATTGATAAGTTTTATTGTTGTTTAATATGCTTATACATTTAAAAGTTGCAAACTATTTTATTTTCAGGTAAAATAAGAAATACATAACAGTAATATTTTTGTGTGACGTCACAGTAAACTTTTCCCGTAGTAATTAGGCCTGTGGTAATTAGGCCCCACCCCCTTATTCAAGCCTTAACAATGCTGCGTAGTTGGTCTAAAATAATGTTGTTTAATGTAAGTTATTGATGTTAATTATTGAGTTGGGTTATGGAAATCTAAAATGATCAAAGATTCTAGAAGTAGGCTAAGAAGTATTTCAGTTTAAGACCCCACCAAACGTACTAGGCAAACACCACCAAGTTTTAATAGGAAAAAACGGCATCGTTTTTAATGAAGGATGGATGGGGTTAGAGAAAAAAGCAATGGATGGGGTTAGAGAAAAAAGCAATTAGCCGAGAAAAAAAAAGACAAGCAAAATTAGTTTCAATTTCTTTGTTACTTAATTTAGTCAAAATTCATTACAAATACATGTAATTGATTAAACTTGTTCTGGCATTGTTCAGCCAACCTTTTCAACTGTTGTGTTTAGAAAAAAGTTGTAAAAGTACCCACGGTGCCACAGTGTACGTTTTTGTTCCTTCAAAAGCCAAAAGAACACTAGACTTTTTTATGGGTCGGGGCACAAATCCATAACATTGACTTAAATTTCTGTAGTTTATTAGATAGTGCCAAATTCAAAGGGGGTTCTACTACCCCGTTTTAGGTTCATACAATCATGAATTTATGCATCATTGTTAGTAACTCATTCCTAACATTCTTTACCCGAAACTGGTTCTATCTCTGACATTTAGCGGAATGCTCTCTAGTATCTTATTTTTCGGAGAACAGTTTACTTCAGCTTTAAGCTTTAGTTGCGTTTTTAACTTGCAAGTTTCAAAACCAAAATTTTGAGCATGTGCACTACTTCCAATGTCTTAGTCAGAATTTAAGGCCAAGTTTTATAACAATTAATTATATTGAACAATACTCTACTATTGTCTCTAAACTAGAGTTCAGCCTGGGGCCTGAGCCAATATTGATAATTTGGAAGATAAATCATATTATTTTCAAGGGGTCAGAAATAATTCATACAATACAGAACGTACATCGTTTAGTATTGTTACAGTATTGATGTTTGATATTTTGAGCAAATGTACCATGATGCATTATGGTATAAAGTATGGTAATGCAGTATCGAATGTATCCATTAACCATTTGGTTGATACTATTATAACATTTTATTGTATTATTTATTTTATTTTTGCACAATTTGGCTTTCACATTTCGTTGCCCATAGTCGCTGATATCTGTTCACCCAACCGTAAATGCAGATAACTGCGTGAATAGAGACATTTAACAATTGGAAAGATTAAGTGATCTCGGAGACACATAAATGAATCTTTTTAGTCTATAAAAATAACATATGATACAGATGAGGCAGTGTTGAAGATATGAATCAATGTTTCATAAGGGACATCCTACATGTACTTGTTCATTTTGGAGGACGTTTTCCATACAGAAAGAGTGAATGAATTGAACCTTTCAATCATGCCTAATTATTTATACGAATTGTGAGAAGCATAAACACTTACCTGAGCCAATTTGAAGAACAACATAAGTGTTTTTTCCTTGATTAAAGTTTAAGTTCTCTACGTTGAAATTAAGGCATAACACTCTTGCTTTAACTTCATATATGAATGGCAATAATGTAACTTCGCTAGGTTCAATGAACAAGCGTTGACTGTCAATGGTTTGTTGCTAAAGTAAAATAAAGAAAAGGTCAGCAATGTATGGAGAGAGAGAGAGAGAGAGAGAGAGAGAGAGAGTTTTATAAAAAAAGGTAAAAAAAAATATTAACATCATCAATTTCATTTTGAGAAAGAACGCTAATTCTACCCTTACTCTTACTTTATCGGTAGAGCATACAGTAAAATGGAAAGCTGTCACTGTACTATATCAAAACACTACTATTGCACTGCGTCAACCTTCCATTACATTATGTCAACACTTTGTGACATGTACTTACACTACTATAATTGCTTTGTGTTAATTTTTTCTTCACATATTGTCAACTGTTTACTATATTTGCACACACTACTACTGTACAAGGTATACAGGGAAGGAAAGAGGGCGTACAAGGCGTGGACAATCACCCACTTTGAGACAAGATTTTTCTCATGTAGTGGGTACATTATGTATAACAAGCTAGGCGGCTCTGTAAAATCGGCAAAAATTAAACGCACGAAAAAATATTTTGAACTGTGTCAATTTATTGCTACATGTTAGGTTCTCTTTTGTGAGAAATTGGTATCAATTTTCCTCCACTCACGTGCCCTATTGTGTATATAAAGTTCAAAACCGATTTAATATACCGGAATTCACCTATTTTGGACGTTTTCCTCCTCATCAAGTCTAAATATTGATGTGGCCGCAATCGAGTATGTATGCGAGACTTCGCAGAAAAAAACAAGTATGATTTGGTTTCTAATATGAAAGAGAACAGATTACTGTACAATAGTGCAGCCACGTCCGTTTTTACGAAAAATTACATTTAAAAATATTTCGTTTTTGGATAGGTGTGATTTTTCATCCATAATAAAATCTAAACACTTAAAGAAAATAATTGTTTAAGTTTGAATCTACAAGTTTTATTATCTACTTTAATCTGTACTTTTACAGAAATTGATTGTTTAAATTTGTATCTGAATGTTATGAAAACCACATAAACTTTTCTCCATAAAATTTATCAAGGGACATTACATGTAAATTTATGACGCAATACATTGAAAAACATGACGTCATAATGAGCCAACATATATTGAACATCCAAATTTTTCAGTCTTCCATAATATTTTAACTTATTAAATGAATCCTTTATTTTAAGAAATAAAAACACGCATACTCATGCATTAATTTGGACAAGATATTCCCCTTCTGCTTGATACATTCGATGTATTTAGCTCGATTAGGACTTTTTCAGAAATTAATTAAGACATTTATAAGACATTAAATTGTTTTCTAAAAATTATTTTTGTTAAAACGAATGTATCAGACAAAACATTGTTAAGCTCTAAAAGAACTTCCACCAAATTATCCATAAATAATACATTAAATATGTCATGGGAAATAAATTTTGATAAAATTTGACATTAATCAAGGCTGGGAAGGTGGGTGGGGTATCCAGTCCAATATCACCTCATTGAAAACGGTACACATCCGATCTGAATTCTAAAGATGTAAACGTCCGTCTACGATGATTATTTGTTCCAGAAAATTATTATTGTCACTAAAACTTATCAAAAATATCTAAACATTTATATTTAGGATGTATTGTAAGGCAAAATAATTTTCTTTGCTTTATCAGTTTTGGTCTAAGTAGAGATGTATAGTCAAGTAATGCATGCCATCTGTTACGTATATTTTTAAAGATTTTTTCATTAAAACAGCGCGGGTATGTTAATGCAGCACATGGACCAGAATTCGGCGAATTAAGACTTTTTTACAATTATGTAACACTAATAAATCGGAAAAGTCCAGCATAAAACTTTTGTTATAATTATGCATTCTATAGACTTCAATGAGACTTATACTACATGAAGCACTTCACCACGACGTCACCACGTGACGTCTATAATTAGAAAATATGCCTTAATGAAAAAGTGAAAAGTTCAACACTACCCCGGGGATAATTAATTTCAATTTGTAATAATAATTATGTAAAAACATCTCTGTACCATGAAAAGTGCTGCTAGAATCCTACTGTCCTATCACAGAAATAATTATTCAACACTTTCTGACGGAACCTTCCCAAAATTTTTACATTTTGTTCATAACATCGAAAAAAATGCATTAATTCCCGTAAACCATACGATTCTAGCAGCACTTTCCAAAAACAATAGAATAAGAACTTTAGATAGAAACAAAAATTAAGTTTCAAAGTATGCGGCGTAGTGTTGAACTTTTGCATCTTATTTGTTACGAACGACAGAGGAATGGCTAATCGGCAAGTATACACCTTCCCTGCTTTAATTTTACGAAGACATTGTTGAAGTATATTACCATACCTTATTCATAAGCTTTATTCCCACATAAAGCACACATGATATTAATTCTAAATGCTTTTAAACTCCGATTTCTTGTGTTTGTTTACATGAATTCTCGTTACGTTTCACTTTCACTCTGCTACTGCATGATCAACAGTTATGACGTCACGGGTTTGGTATTTAACCCCGGTGATAACTACAGAGACCCAGAAACGACAAAATTCTGTTTGTATTATGCCTCTGCATATTTTGATTAATTTTTACGACCTCAAATCAATCTTACTTATCGATTATAAGAAATTGTTATCTCTAAACTTCACGTCATATAGCTATGACGTCATATCATATAGGCAAGTAGAATATTTGGTTGTAACCTTAACCTACCTGCGAACTTTCTAAAAAAACTAATCTACTTATAAACACAATCTCGCCTTGAATACTAATCCGGGAATGGCAAACCTTAATCTGTGAAAAAAAAAGGCAGGCCGTAGTGACGGTGCCCACAAGTCACAAATAACATCATTTAAATGAAGACAAATTGCAAATAATCACCATGCAGAATAACAAAACTTTTTTTTTTTTGTTTTTGTTGAATAACTTTATAAACCTTTAATTATAAGCGACATATTGAGACACTTTCGCAGTTCTGGTATTAATAGAAAAAAATGATGTTATTTGTGACTTTTTCACTATGTAATCGATATAGCCCCGCCCTAGCTCAATAATTCTTGACCCTGGGGCCATGAACTTCAGAATCTTTGTAAAGGACTCAAATCTCATTACAATCATGCAATGCTTGATGTCCGGGAGTAAAGATTGCATTAATTTTAGTCGCTTTTGTAACGACAGTCCCACCTCATGGGGTCAAGAATCATGAAATTCACTATTTGTCCTCTTCTCCCATATATGCTTTATATCAATACTAGTTAAAATTGGTTGAACGGTTGCAGAGAGGATGCTGAAAACAATATATTCCCCATATGTATATAATCAAAAAAATAACAGAAATGCTTATTTTTTCATCCATTTCAAAGCTATTTACAACTGAAACATATATCTTATCAATGTAATTATTTATGTTTCATTTATTTGTCTGAAACATAAGAAAAGATATGAGACATTTGATCATATCGAACACTATTTCAAAATATGATGATACTTGGAAGTCCGATTTCAATGGAAAAAAAACATTGTCTAATCTCCTTCTTTTCAACAGCCTTGAGCTTTGACATTGAATCTTTTGTAGAGGTTAGAGAGCAATTTCATTTTAATGTCTATTTTTTTAATCAATTTTAAGCACCATCATCAATCTTTCAAAATAGTAGTTTGTTAAAAAGGAAAGTGTGACAAGAGTACAATAATTTACCCTAACCTTCCTAAGAAAGTGTAGTCTTAAAAACAAACACATTTTTCCAAAAAAGTATAGAGTTATCTTTATTAGTTATCCGATATACTTTATGTTTTGAAAAAAAAAATGTATATAAATCTGAAAAATAATTGAAATACGTTGCCTTCTAAAACATCACACCGTTTTTAATGTATTACAGATCATAAGGCACAGATCTAAGTGCTGTATTTAATATATGTTCATTTATTTTTTAAAGTTATATGTTGAATGCAAAATATATATTGAATAATAGTCAGTCCTTTTTCCATATTATTCATACTTTCAAAGTGTCATACTTACTTAATTGAAAAAAAAAAAAACAATGCTTTTGTAATGCTGAATAAACATAGGTAACAGACTTTGCTTATCCCTTTTCTGAACCCATACTTATTTCCTAACTATTTTTTGAACTATTTTGTTTGTAGAATCTCACCTTTTCCTCTTTTTCTCTGTTCAAGATTTCATCTCTTAAACGGGTCTTAGCTTCCTCACTCCAATACGTTGGAACAACAAACACAAAATGCAACCGGGATCGCATGTCACTTGAGAGCTTTTTGCAAGTATTTAATGCATTATGCAGTCGTTTGAGAATATGTCTAATGGCTTCTTTATAATTTTCTGAATCCGTATCTCCCTGTAGAAAAGATATATTTTAGTTTATTCATTTCTCGTTCCAATTTCTTTTCTCTTGTGTTCGAGATCTAGAGGGCAGGACAGCACTTACTTTTTTTTTATAAGTATCACATTAATTTTAATTTTTTTTATTTTAAATATCTTTTTTACTAGATATTAGCATCTTCAAGGAAATAAAATCAGTTATACCAGATTCCTTTCAGGTTCAGTGAAATAAGAAGACACGTTTTAATGCTTGAGTACAGAAATCATTCAAAGTGTAAGTATTTCTTATAAAAAAGATTATAATCAGAATGTATATACCGGTTCCATGCTCTTCAAATTCTCACACCTCTAACCATCCCTGAATTCAATCTTGAACACTCTAGTGATATCCCAGTTACGTGTGATTTTAAATAAATCAGGTAATGGCATTAAAGATAATAAGCATGAAAAATTTCAATGCTTTAATCGTAGGGATATGCACATTATACGTTAATTGTTAGATCATCACTTCGCGTAAGCGGGCCGGTAAAACAGATGTTTGCCACCGTTACATGTAAATCAGCATTAATGGTCGCAAATACCAGATTAGAAGATTAGCTATTCTCATTCTAATGTAATCCATGCATTTTGTTTGTTGTTAGTCTTACTTTATACTAATATAAGAGGGTTTAGCAGAAATATTTGGGGGGAAATCTTTATGGAATAAAAATTATGAAATAAAGGATGTTCTAACAAATGTATATTTTTCAAAAAAAAAAACAATGCTTCCCAGCCCGCAATTGCCGGTATAAAGAGTTAACTTGGTTGAATTATGAAGGAATATGAGCATGTTGATCCCAAATATGGTGACCAACGGCAAATAACTCTAACTTGTTAAGGTCTACTGAAAACTTTCTACTGAAGTACAAAACTTAAAAATTACAGCTGAATTTATTTGAAAAATACCTTATTCGGACGTTTTCTCTTTTACTGTAAGCAAGTTAAACACAAAGTAAAAATAGTACATCGGGTTCGTTGCCACGATGCTCTCAGCAAGGAAAATACAATTTTTACCGAAAACTCATTACAAAAACAAATGTTCTACATATGCATTGCAGTCTTTCGATATAAATAAAAGACTTTGTTCGGAGCTTATGCATCATTTCGGACGTCTCCGTAAGCGCAGAACTCGCCAAAATCCATATAAAGTACGCAGATGATTAAACTGCATTGAAAAAAGCACAAGCTGAGATCATCTACAAACAGCAGTTAATCAAGATGGACCTTGAACCTTTAACAGAAATAAGTGCAGTTAAAGAAATGTATGCTAAGGACAGCACTAGTTAAGAGGATTGAACAGATGTTAGTTCGTGGTGTTTGATTGAATACAAGCCGCCATCTGTAATGCTGAAAAGGAGAATATTCAGTCAGTTTATTTATCAGCTGAGACACCAGCATTCGTTCCTAGACACATGGAGCATTAGAGATGAACTAACTTATCACCCTGTAAAGCCATTGGTAGCTAACAGACCCATCTTCGAGAGAACTGTTTCCAGATCGACCAAAAGTTGCTTTGTCAAACTACATACCTTTACAAGCTAACGCACACGATAACAGACATATCGACAATCGGAAAGCACCTTGTCTACCAGAACAAGGATGGAAAGACACCGTTTATTCATGGGATTATTCTCCAGAACCTACGTCGGCATTTGATAGAAATCTGCTTCCTCCTGAAGTAGATCTAATGCCGCATATAGGAGCTCGTCCTGTAATTCAGGGTTCGGACTTTGTGAAATTCCTTCATAAAAATGATCTTGTTCTTACAAGACTCTCTAAATTTGATGACCGACCTGAAAACTACTTAGCCTGGAAACACAGTTTGAAATCAGTGATGAAGGAGCTCCACATTAGCGCATCAGAAGAACAGGACTTGCTTGTGAAATACTTGGGTCCTAGGTCAAGCGAAAAGCGTTAGATCATCGAATTCAACAGATCACCAGAGAAGATTTGTTCGAATATGGACTCGACTAAATGACCGGTTTGGCAGCCCACAAGTGATAGATGCTGCACTTAAGCGGAAACTTGAAAACTGTGCTAAAATCGGTGTAAGAGAAAAGGAGAAACTTTACGTTCTCTCGAATATTCTCTTTGAGATTGAGTCAGCATTGTAAGACCCACAGCTCAGAGACTTGTTATCATTCTTTAACACTTCCTCTGGTACATTAACGACTATTGTCGCAAAGTTACCGCCATCTTTGCAGTCCAAATGGAGAGACAGGGCCGTGAAATATAAAAACAGACACAAGGCGGCTTTTCTTCCCTTTAGAGAGTTCAGTGAATTCAGAAAACAGGGGACTCAGTGTAAATAATAGGAAAACAACTGTGAGAGACTCTATCCAGTCTGTGGAATCAAAGAACCCAATTCATAATGCAGACCATAGCTTACAGGACTGTAAAGGATTTCTAAAGCTCTCTATGGCAGAAAGAAAGAAGTTCTTGCGAGACCGCAATTTGTGTTTCAAGTGTTGTGAGTCTACAAATCACCGTGCAAGGGACTGTAATGTACCGGTTAAGTGTAGAGTATGCTCGAGTGATAAACATACCACAGCACTGCATGTTGGTGTTGCCCATAGAACTCAAGGCAATCCTGAACCTCAGGTCAGTGAAGCAGCCGAGATCCATGGCAGGGAGACACAAACCTCTTTGTGTACGGAAGGATTTTCTGGTAAATCCTGCGGGAAGGGGTTACTTGTGCATAAATACTCTTTTGACACCACTCAGAACTATTACCATACTTACGATCCTACCGATGATCAGAGCAATAGGACACTACCCGTTGGAAGCTTTTTGATGCTCTGTGTAAAACAAAGACAGAATCTGTACAATAAACCTGTCAACATGTGCTGGGTGCTCATCCGTGACAGGAAGACAAATATATGGACTCACTATAGAATCACTAGATGGGACATTTAGAATTGGTCTTCTACCGGTTATCGAATACAATAACATTCCAAATGATCGCCAAGAGATACCAACACCAGATGTGATCACACATTTTGAACACTTGAAAGGTATTCAGATCCCTCCACTTGATGAGAAGCCAAAGATTTTACTTCTTATTCGAAGAGACTTACCAGAAGAACACCGTATTTTGGAACAGAGGACAGGGCTAAGGACTTCTCCATTTGCCCAGCGGTTACCACTTGGTTGGATAGTGATTGGTAACGTTTGTCTAGGAGAAACGCATACACCATCGACTGTAGCTAGCGTCAACAAAACTGCAATCCTGAGTAGTGGACGACCATCTGCATTAGACCCATGTGATAATCACTTAGCTGTTTCAATAAATACTGGAAAAGGTGACAGAATTTGACAGGATGTATTTGTTCGGACAATTGATGATGAAAAACAGGGATACTCTGTCTCTGTCGAGGACTGACAGTTTATGGAAATCATGGATAAGGAGTTTAAGAAGACACCAGATGGTTATTTGGAAGCACCATTACCCTTTAAGGAGTCACTTTCCGCTTTACCGTATTATAGAGAGGAAGTGCTGAGACGTGCACGAATCTTACAGAAGAATCTCCAACGAGATCCCGTGAAACGGGACCATTTTTGCACTTTCATGACAAAGCTGCTACAGAATGGACATGCAGAAGTGGATGCAGAACACTGGATGCAGAATAGGAATGCTGGTATCTACCATTATTCGGAGTGTACCATCCATGGAAACGGTACCAAGTTGGAGTGGTTTTCGATTTCTCAGCTAACTACAAGGGAATCTCATTAACGCCGTTTTGATGTCAGGACCTCTGCTTATGAACAGTCTAGTTCGTGTCCTACAATGTACAGCACTTGATTTAAACACATTTTATTGAAACATAATTAATGGGATCAGACACAAGTTATTCCAACTTAGAATGTCCTCTCTAACATAAACAAAGAAAAAACAAATTTGTATACACGTAATGAACAACAAACAAATCTACAATGCAAAAAAAAACAAGAAAAGGGTGCAGAGAGATAAGAAAGGAAGGGTATAATGTACATCACTTCCGCTAGGATTCAGTTCCTGTAATGGCGGATATACAGCAGGACTCAAGGCAACACAGTTGCAGTTGTTGGGACACAAGATGACACATTGGTAGTAAAGAGGACACAATAGAACATAGTGGCAGCAGACAAGACACAAAAGAAAATAGTGGCAGTTGAGAGGACACAAGAGAAAATAGTGGCAGTAGAGAGTACACAAGAGAATACAGTGGCAGCAGACAAGACAAAATAGAACACAGTGGCAGCATACAAGACACAATAGAAAACAGTGGCAGCAGACAAGACACAAGAGAACATAGTGGCAGTAAAGAGGACACAAGAGAACATAGTGGCAGTAGATAAGACACAAGAGAACGCAGTGACAGTAGATAAGACACAAGATATTGCTTTAACAAAAGATGGTACTGTCTCTATAGAAAGCTTGAATACTTCGTTATCAGTCGATCAACTAGACCAAATACTTAGTGTCCTTGGTGACATTCCATGTGATGAAGTAATAGTAGAGCTCACATCTATCAATGCAGAAACCAATGAATTAGATTTGAGAAAATCTGATGACAGCAGCTCTGATAAACTCGATGAGTCATCTGATGAGTATGTCCCTCCAAAGAGAAGTAAAAGAAAATGAATTGATTCTGATTTGTCTTCTGACAGTTCTAGTTCTTCGACGGAAAGGAAGTGGAAACTTAAATCTAGAAAGAAGAAGAGCGGTATTGAGGCAGACAGAAATAAACTTGAAGACAACAACAATAACAGTATAAATAAAGCCTCCTCTAGTGTGTCGATTCAGATAAAATCAAGACAAAAAACAAAGAAACCCATCTGCATGGAAACGAAACAGATCCAAACATCTACGAAACAAAGGAAAAACATATAAAAACAATAGAGGCTTTGAAATTCCTGCGAGAAAATCAAGGGAATTAACGTGTAAATGCAAGTACAAATGCGTAAACAAAATAACAGCTAGATGCTGTCATGAGA